CTTAAATTTGTAAATAACTATTTTACAAAGGTGGAGTAGGAGGGCAAGAGGGGGGGGCGAAAAGTTCTACGTTGAACGTAAGGTGATTTAGTTGGCGTATTTAAAGAATGTAGTCAACGATAGTCTATAAATAAAAGCTCAAAAGTATATATACAAAATGTCGTTCGCTCTTTTTTCAATACACTACAATTTTTAAAGTGGAGCGCAAGTTTGCCGGGCGTGTTTAGATGTTGTGTAAATAAAATGCGGACAACGACGGACACTGCCACCACAAAAGTTCAGCTGTTAGCACTTTAAAGCGCTCGTTCTGAGAAGCTCTGTGATGACCTTAAAGAACCCTATGATGCCTCTGATGACAGATGGCCAAACGTAACAAGTTTTCATTGCCACCCACTTACATGTACCATATTTATTGCCAGGAATGTCGGAGCGGAAAAACTTGTCAATATAGGGGATAGGAAATGAACAATGATGACTCATAAAAAATGTTTATAATTTTATTATTAAATCTTGTATCGTTAGATACCCACTGCAATACTTGGCTTTTATATTTATAACAATATACAGGTCTGCAGTAAGCAACATACATGTACAAGAACGTTTGGTTTAAATTGTTTATCTATCTAGCAAAAAAAATGTTTAATACATTATTTCATAATAATAAAGTTATTTATTGAAACATATAATACAAGAATGAAAGATTTGTAATAAGATTTTAATGTACAAACAACATTAGATGGCTATATATTACTATGTACAGATTTTCATTGTAAAATAATTCAACTACGCAAATATCAACCACTGAGCCAAGATATGACAAAGTTGATAATATTATTAAGGCTTATTTATAATTTGAAAAGAAAATCCCAGTCAAAATTATTTTGTAATTGAGATATTTAAAAAATGTTAAAGGAACTCCACTGAGGTGCCTAAAATAATAGGACACTTAAAAAGATATTCAAAAGAGAATTATGTAATATAATCGGAAAGAAATTAAAAATCATATCATCACATCATATTTTTATCCTATTCTTAGCCAGGTTTGAGTGGGTCATTTCTTTCACAATTAGAATAATTATTCTTGAAAAACATCTGGAAAAACAGAATGAGTGAATAAGTTTGATTTTACATCATGGCCGGTGTACATTTATTTACTTACTTACATAATTATAACATTTTTGTACATTATAATATTTTAGTTAAAAATGTGACTTTACAATATGTGCATTCAATAACTATTTGTATTTAAAATTTCATAAAATATTACGGAACGTCGTTGGTTCTACTCAGGTGCCCGTTCGTGCCTGAAATAATGCATGGAAGGGCATCTGAGGTCTTCCTCCACCAGTAAAGCTGGAACGTCGCAATATGACCTAAAACCCAAAACAAACAAACAAACAACCATAAAATATTATATTGCACCAATGTTTCAATGTGATCACATTTATAAGTCAGCTGTGCTCGTGAATACGTGAATAACATTGCTGTACAGTGCAAGAAGGAAGAACAGTGTCTTAGTAAATCAGTGCAATAACAAAGGGATTTGTGCAATTAAGTTTTCAAAATGTAACTTTTGATGTCATTGGACAATTTTAAATTTTCAATAATTTGAATTGACCAATCAGGTGTTAAGTTATTAATTAAAAATCTATGTACAAAATTCTTGTTTTCATATAAATAGATGCATTCATAAGGAAAACTAATTTTGTCCTAAGGGTAGTGTGTTAAAAAGTATCATGCAAATCAGGAATTTGTTCTGACACAAACAGAATAATAAAAATTTCCAAAATACATGATCTGGAAATTTATTTTAGAGTACCATTTATGAGGCATAGATTCTATAAACATTTTACTAACACATCAATACTGTTATTCTATAAAGTCAGGCATTTAAGTCAGTTTGCTTTGACCCGGACTTTAGCAGCGCTGACCATCTCAAATCACTCATCAAATCTTTCTGTACTAAAAGATATTGTATTTTATTGAGCACACAAATCAACCTACGAACATAAATGAGAAATAAAAAACTCCTTTAAATCCTTTTTAAATTTTTTGCAAATCAAATCTTTATTTTAATTAATATCAATAACATAGCAAATTCTCGAAACAGAGAAATTCATTTAAATTGCTTTTTCCAGCTAAACGAGTTAAAGGAGAGGTGACAAAATTAATTAGCTATCTGACAAAACACAAATTAGACTTGTGTGACAACTTATAGGTCTAATAAAGTCCTCGAACAAAATTTGAGGATGATTCCAGTAATTTTAAAAGCATTCTCATTTCCTTTTTAGAATGATTTATCTCAAATATTAAATTGAATTAGTCTTGGAGGTGCACATTACAAAACAAAAACAAGTTCTTTACATTAAAGGGTGTAAGTCATAAACTATTGTTTTTAATCTCACATTTCCACTGAAATTTGCTAATCAATATTGCATAATATTGACAATTGAATGAGGGCATCATCCAAAATGGCCATAAGAATTTCAAAGAAATGACATAATTGCATAGGAAGCCAATGTAATGACTCCAACACAGAAAGCCAATTATCATTTAATACTAGGTTTTTTAAGAAAAGGAGCAAACAGGTAGACGGAATGGCATGTTATTTGTCAGACCTTTATTAACTGGTGAAGTTTCTTTAAATCAAAATAATTTGTCCATATTCAACATACATGTATTTTTCTTTATTTTGATGTTGTGTCTTTTAAAGATTTAATTAAGAAATAGTATCAAGTAAATGGGGGTCGTCGAAAAATAAGGAAAAAAAGCGATATGTTCTGAAAGAGGATAAGTCTTGATTTGGTCTTAATTATGATTGAGGAGCACATACTGTCATTCATAATATACAGATGATGTATATGCTTTGCCTACAAATTCAATTACATGACATAACTATTCAATAAAAATAATGTGTGCACAGAATATCATGATTTATTTGTCTCAGAGAAATCCGGATAAGAAAATAATTTGTAGACTTGATGATTAAATTAAAAAACTGTAAGTTTTTTATGATTCGCAAAAAGGTGCGCTAATTTACAGACCTATTTGTCAAGAACACAATGAAAATTTGAATTTATCAGATTAAAAGAAATCTCGTTGAGCATATTCTAATTATCAAACTGCGATACTTGTGTACGAGGTCCTGGTTAAACAATCAGTTTAATATGAATTCCGATTGAAAGTTATTTGTTGCAATGTAAATATTTTACTGGATCCTCACATGAACCGTTCTCTTTCTTATTCCCATACATTCTCAGATATAATAAAGAATTGATAGTTTGTGGCAATTGAAAAAGGCTTTAGCAGTTAAAAAGAAATATAATTTAGTGTGTTAGGTTCCAATAAGTTAAGTACATTCAAGCAAAACTAAACAAGTAAAATCCAAGAATTATAGACATATATAATTTCGATTAAAACTAGAGATACTAGAGGTTGTAGCAATCAAAAAGAAATATAATTTACAAAGGATCCTTCGAGTGGCCCGGAAACAACTTAAATACTGAAATATGAAACAAGTATTCAAGTGCATGACCAACTAAACATCACAGTGTTTCGTATTTAAAAAAAAACACACTTTTGGGTATTCATATCTGGATCCAGTAGCTTGCGAACAGGGCATCCCATGTTCATCAAGTTGATTAATAAAATTGCGCTTTTCTCTCAAATAAGCCAATCCAATTTAGGAAATCACTTTTGAATTTTTACATTGAAAATCATTCAATTGCCTTAAGCGGCAATATTATTCAATAAAGCAAATCAACTTCAAGGAACTTGATAAAAGGTTATCATCAAGAGGAATTTCTTTGAAATCTAATCAACTGTACTTAAAAATAGTTTTTCGTCTTCGTTTCCATAGAAACCATTACTATAAAGTAATGATCCTTATTAAAGTAACGATCCTTATTTCAACGGAGAAGACCTATTTTATTGACTTGGGTTAGAATTGGTCAAGTAGGTATATAATGTTCTTAAAAGAAATTACGCTTTTAAAGTCCGGAAATACGAACTCCTAGACGGCGAATAATTGAATAGTTATGTCATTGTACACAAAAAATAAAACAAGATAAATTAAACGAGATGGGTTACAAACCGGTTAGTAAATGAAAACGCTGACGCTGAGGAATTACTAGTAAGTCGTAATAGGTATCTATGCCATAACACCAACACTAAAGGACCACAATGGAAGTGTCTTCCTATACATGACTATGTAAAGTAAGGGACCCCCGGGGATGGCCAATTTTGACCAAGGGGACATGATAAATTTCACTTTTTTAAAAATCCACAAGGTAATGTCAAATACCTCAGCTTTATGTATTGTAGATTCTGAGAAGTTTTAAGTACTTTTTTACTATGAAAGTCTATATAAATTAAGTGTAGGAATGTTGCAAGCTTCCAATGATCTTAGCTGTTGCGAAAAGAAAAATAAATTAAACTCGGGAGAACTTTATCCCCTGACGAACTAAACGGAAGCACGGACTGTAATTAAAGTCCGTGAATCCTTAAATTTGTAAATAGCTATTTTTCAAAAGTGGAGCGAAAGGGCAAGTGGGGGAGGGGCGAAAAGTTCGATGTTGAGCGTAAGGTGATTTAGTTGGCGTTTTCAGAGAATGTAGTCAACGATATTCTATAAATAAAAGCTTCCGAAGTAAAACCGAGAATATATACTGCAATGCCGTTCCCTATTTTTCAATACACCACAATTTTGAAGTGGAGCGTTAGTTTGCAGGGCGTGTTTAGGAGATGTTGTGTAAATAAATGCGGACAACAACGGACACTGCCACCACAAAAGCTCACCTCTTAGCACTTTAAAGCTCGAGTTCTAAGGAGCGTTGTGATGACCTTAAAGTACCCTATGGTGACTCTGATGACAGACGGCAAAACGTAACAAGTTTTCATTGCCACCCACTTACATGTACCACATTAATTGCCAACAATGTTGGAGCAGGAAAAACTTGTCAATATAGGGGATAGGAAATGAACAATGATGACTCATAAAAAATGTTTATAATTTTATTATTAAATCTTGTATCGTTAGATACCCACTGCAATACTTGGCTTTATAACAATATACAGGTCTGCAGTAAGCAACATACATGTACAAGAACGTTTGGTTTAAATTGTTTATCTATCTAGCAAAAAAAATGTTTAATACATTATTTCATAATAATAAAGTTATTTATTGAAACATATAATACAAGAATGAAAGATTTGTAATAAGATTTTAATGTACAAACAACATTAGATGGCTATATACTACTATGTACAGATTTTTATTGTAAAATAATTCAACTACACAAATATCCAACACTGGGCCCAGATATGACAAAGTTGCTATCAAAAATTATTAAGGCTTATTTATAACCCCAATCTACATTATTTAGTTACCGATTTTGATGTCCAGGGATGTTTTAAAAAAATGTTAAAGGAACTCCACTGTAGTCCAAAAGCCTAAAAAAATTATTTGTTTCTTACATAGATCAGCTAAGACACTTAAAACAGAAAGAATACAAAAGATAATCATATAGTGTAATCAGAAATAAATTGAAAATCATATCATCACATCATATTTTCTAAGCCAGGTTTGAGTGGGTCATTTTTTCACAATTAGGATAATTATTCTGGAAAAACAAAATGAGCAAATAATCTGAAATTTTGCATACAAGTTCTTGGTCTAGTTTTACATCAAATGAAACATTTATCTCTGAAAATTATTTTTGTCCCATCATGTCAAAAAACCTCAGTGGGGTCCCTTTAAGCATTCAAATTAATTGCGAAAAATTATTTTTAGTCCCATCATGTCAAAAATTCTCAGTTAAGTCCCTTTAAATTTACTGTGTTTACAACATGGCCGGTGTACATTTATTTACTTACTTACATATAACCTTTTTGTACATTATAATCTTTTAGTTAAAAATGTGACATTACAATATGTGCATTCAATAACTATTTGTATTTAAAATTCATAAAATATTATATTGCACCACTGTTTCAATGTGATCACATTTATAAGTCAGCTGTGCTCGTGAATAATATTGCAGAACTATGCAAGTGGGAAGAACAGTGTCTTTGTAAATCAGTGCAATAACAAAGGATTGGTGCATTCAAAATGTAACATTTAATGTCATTGGTCAATTTCAAATTTTCAATAATTTGAATCGACCAATCAGGTGTTAAGTTTTAATAATTTAAAATCTATGTACAGAATTCTTGTTTTCATATAAATAGATGCATTCATAAGGAAAACAATTTTCTCCTAAGGGTAGTGTTAAAAAGTATCATGCAAATCAGAATTTGTTCTGACACAAACAGAATAATAAAAATTCCCAAAATACATGATTTGGAAATTTATTTTGGAGCACCATTTAAGATGCAAAATTTCTATAAACATTTTACTAACTCATCAATACTATTATTCTATAAAGTCAGGCATTTTAAGGCAGTTTGCTTTGACCAATCTTGAGTCACTCATCCCAGAATGTTTTCAACATCATTCTGTATTAAAATTATTGAGCATACAAACCAACCCAAGAACCAAAATGAGAATTAAAAACTCTTAAAATCTTTCTTTTAACTTTGGCAAAATTAAATCTTTATTTTAATTAATATCAGTAAGATAGCAATTCATTTGAATTGCTTTTCCCAGCTAAACCAGTTAAAGGAGAGGTGACAAAATTAATTAACAAATCAGAATTGTGTGACAACTTACAGGTCTAATGAAGTCATCAAGCAAAATTTGAGGATGATTCCAATAATTTTAAAAGCATTCTTATTTTCCTTTTAAGAATGATTTGGCTCTATATTTTCTTAAATATTAAATTGAACTAGTTTGGGGCATAGAAAACAAAACAAGTTCATTACATTGAAAGGACAGGTCATAACTATACACGTAGTTTTTAATCTGGCTTTTCCATTGAAATTTGCTAATCCATATTGCATAATATTGACAATAATTATTGAATGAAGGCATCATCCAAAATGGCCATTAGAATTACAAAGAAATGACTAAATTATAGTGTTATTTGCATATGAAGCCTTCAGCCTTCATATGAATGACTTCAACATCGAAAACCAATGCCTCAAGCATGGGTAAAAATTGGAAATTCAATCAATCGTGAGAATCAAAAATTTAACATTTATTACTGGGTTTTTAAAGAAAAAAAAGTCTCGAAATCCAGAAATTCAGGAATAATCCTGTAAACTTTTATCTATACAAAAGGTAGTTCCTTGACTTTCCAAAGGTCTTTCAGCAGGTGACAACAGAACATTAGCATCAATTAATTTATCATTGTGTGTACATCACATATTTTTTTAAGTATTTAAGTATTTTTTTAACGATTGCAGAAATTAGTTGTAAAATCCATAACATGGGACTGAAAAGTTTCATATCTTTCTATGTCGTAAAACTGCTGAAGATACTATAAAAGTTTACAGGTTGTAGCAAATGTAGTAAAATTCAGTAATTCAGTCCTTAATAGATGCCAAGAAAGAACCCTTCATAATCGACAAGCCCTGGTTAAAGAATAACAATATCCCCCACTCATAACTAAAGTCAAAAACTTGTACAGTATGAAACATATACGGCAGTTCTTAACTAATATTATACAGTATTGTATTTCTATTATAATAAATGTTTTCAACATTATAATTGTCAGGTATTGAAAGCAGAGTCTATATAGTTCACAAAGAAGCACATATTTGCAGCAAGTATATTTGTACATGTGATTATTCAACAAGCTTTTGAATACATTAAAGAATTGTATATGTCATGTATAACGCATCTATAACTACCTAGTCAACAAAAATTCCTCAACCGTTAATACACTAATTAATGATTCAACATAAAACAATAAACAATCCATGCAAATATCTGTCTACAAAACTGAGGAGGAAAATTAAAAAATATATATATACTGGCACTTGAAATTGAAAATATAGCAAATCATGGAAACAAAAATATGAAAATAAAGAGGCCCAGGATGGTCCCTAGTCGCTTAAAAATAAGATATCGTATATAATAATCCTTTTTCTCTGCTGAAACTGAAATATATTTGCCTTTGCCACTAGTATAGAACCCCAGCCAACTTGCTTACTAATTTTATCCACGCAGTTTGACCAGGTTCCTTTTTTCTGGCTGACCATCTTGATATCCCAAGAATTGATAATGGGAGTGGAAACTAGACAAAACCATTTCAGAAATTCAGCAGGTCATGGGTTAAAGGTAGAGTGTAAGCAAAATGCAATCCAGCAAATTTGAAAGCTGACCTATAACAAGCTGACCTATAACAGACATCATAATGTTTAACATAGAAAACATTAAAAAATGTAATTCAAACATTGAATAATTTATTGTGAGCTCATAGGGAATTTAAATTATTGTAAAATTAACATCTTGTCAGGCTTTATAGTTTAAGTGGAAAACCAACATGCTTGACAATTAACCTGGAAGTATGTTCAATGGTCTTTAAAGCTGCATGCCTCCAGATGAGTCAAAATACTTCAAGGAAATAAAACTTATGAAAAGATGTACTTTTTCGTAGATTTTTAGAAAAGTAGAAAAATCAAGATTCAAGTATAATTTAACATGTTATGTGTGATTAATGACTGATTTTGCAGTACATGAATTTATCACCATATTTCTACAGTGTTACTCAGCAGTAAGGGCTATTTTTGCATATTTTGACCTATTTTGGGCCATTTATGTGGATTGTAAGTGCTGTTTGCAATCTGTAAATAACGTCCTTTGTTCACTTCACAATATTTTAAATACATTTTCAAAATTTTCATTAAAATTTGCATGAATCTGGAGGCATGCTGCTTTACCGCTGAATCTGATGAATATGTTGTAATTAATAAGTATATACTATCCCTGGTTATCATTAATGATTCCATCTTTATTTTCTGTATCTATAGATTTTAATATATCTATCAGAATCAAAATTTTGCAAGTTTGATGCATAATCAAACTACTTTATCATTTCATATTTCATTTTGTCACATTTTCATTGGAAAAAAGTTTTACAAAATTTCATTTTCTGAACTTTTTATAATACAAAATCTATTGATTTAAAAAAAAGGATAAAAACTTTATGGCTTATGTGTGTAAAACTAGTAATGAAGTTACAAATGTACAAGTATGAAACTTTTAAAATGATATGTTTCCCTGTGGAAAGAGAAGTGTACAAAAAAAAAATTCATAGAGGAAATGATGGTATATACATGTATGATGAAAATATATCTGGTGGGTTAAAACTTGTTATTACCTACTGTCTAAATACTTAGAAAAAAACCAGACAAAATATGATACAATTATGAATAACTTTATAAGACATCATAGAACTGTTTAAGTAAAAATTAGACAATATAAATGTGACAGGATTGCTTACATAGTACAAGATGAGAACAACTATCATTCACTATCACAAAAGATACTAGAGGTATGAAAAACAATAAGAAAGAGCATATAGTGTGATATTTTCAAAACTTTTCTTGAGGTTTAAAGGTATAATGACTTATTCCATTGAATATTCGGATACATTGGCGGAAAAACAAAGCACCCAAAATATTAGGTCACAAAAAATTTGACTATGAGCATTCTTTTACATGTATCACTTAAGTGTCTCTGATTTAGCAAACTCTGTGAATTGCATTCTTATTTCTTTCTTTACACTCAAAAACAAGAACCGGTTGAACCGGGTGATGCTCCCCGAGAAGGTTCTGGACACAGGAAAGTATAAAAAAAATGAACAAAGGGCAAAAACTCAAAATTTAGGCAAAGCGGAGTTATGTTTTTTTGCACTGCACTTCAATTCAATGAGATCTATCTATCTATAAAGTTACCTGATGATATCAGAGTTATGTCCCGGGTAAAAGTCAAAGTGTAAAAATGAAAAAAGGGCAATAACTCCAAAATAAGACCAGGCTTTGTTTAGGCTCTTTAAGCATTGCAGTTCTATCAAATTATATCTAGCTACCTACAAAGTTTCATGTTGATATCTCTAATAGTTTTAAAGTAATGTCCAGGTCAAAAGTCAAAAAGTAAAAATAAACAAAGGGCAATTACTTCAAAATAAGGCAAGGCAGAGTAATGATTCTTAAGCACTGCACTTCCACCCAATGAGACCTATCTATCTACAAAGATTCATGTTGAGATCTCTTATAATTTTAGAGTAATGTCCCAGACAAAGTTCAAAGTTTCAAAATGAACAAAGGGCAATAACTCCAAAAGTAGGCAAGACTGTTACAGTTCTTGTGCACTGCAAACTTACTCAATGAGATATATCTACCTACAAAGTTTCATGTTGATATCTCTTATACATTAAAATTATGTCCTGGACAAAGTGCTAAAAATAAACAAAGGGGGATAATTCAAAAATTAGGCAAGGCAGAGTTAAGGTTCTTGTTCACTGCACACCTACTCAATGAGATCTATCTACCTACAAAGTTTCATGTTGATACCTCTTATACTTTTAGAGTTATGTCCCGGACAAAGTTCAAAGTGTAAAATAAACAAAGGGGGATAATTCAAAAATTAGACAAGGCAGAGTTACGGTTCTTGTGCACTGCACACCGACTCAATGAGATCTATCTACCTACAAAGTTTCATGTTGATACCTCTTATACTTTTAAAGTTATGTCCCGGACAAAGCTCAAAGTGTAAAATAAACAAAGGGAGATAATTCAAAAATTAGGCAAGGCAGAGTTCAAGTTCTTGTGCACTGCACACCTACTCAATGAGATTTATCTACCTACAAAGTTTCATGTTGATACCTCTTATACTTTTAGAGTAATGCCCCGGACAAAGTTCAAAGTGTAAAATAAACAAAGGGGAATAATTCACAAATTAGGCAAGGCAGAGTTACGGTTCTTGTGCACTGCACACCTACTCAATGAGATCTATCTACCTACAAAGTTTCATGTTGATACCTCTTATACTTTTAGAGTTATGTCCCGGACAAATTTCAAAGTGTAAAAAAAACAAAGGGGGGTAATTCAAAAATTAGGCAAGGCAGAGTTACGGTTCTTGTGCACTGCACACCTACTCAATGAGATCTATCTACCTACAAAGTTTCATGTTGATACCTCTTGTTGTTTCAAAGTTATGTCCCGGACAAGAAAAGGGGACGGACGGATGGACGGACGGACAAGGCGGCGACTATATGCTCCCCCGAAATTTTTTCGGGGAGCATAAAAACCTTAAATTTCTTTATTTATTCCTTTCTGAGCCTTTCCAAACGTGGTAGATAAAATACCATCACTTTATTTATACATTTAATTTTGCACTTGTTACTAATATACAAGTCCAATACATGTATTAAGAAACTACTTTTGAGCCTACTTACGAAACACCTTCTTTATTCAACAACACTTATGTTTATATCAATATGGCTTATTGCTTTAATTTCATGCATACAAAAGACAGGGTTACGGATTTGCCACTCTACATCTAACTGCGGACAACCCTCATTAACAGTCCCCAAACACATTTCGGCCTTTAAACTGCATCAGTCCCCAAACAAATTTTCTCCTACACAAATCAACCACCCCTTTTCCCAATAAGGCTCATAAATTATTTATACATATGTGCCTCTCCAGTCATAATGAATTTGGTAAAGCGAAATTTTTTTTTAGCAAAGAGTGGAAACACCTGAAGGTGAAATGTCTTCAGGACATTCAGGCCGAAATGTCTTTGAGCCAAACTGATCATAAATTCCTCATATCATAAAGAGGTGAACTACCACCAAATTAATTGACACATAATATACTAAATGAAGGCAAGTATTGAGGATATGATAATATACTGACTAAATATCACCTGTTTGTATCAGTGCATATATATTTGTAACAACATCGAAGGCATTTTACTAATATACATAACAAAGTCACTAACAACTGTGATAGGCGTTGCCTAAATTAATGTACTCATTAAAACCTATTAATTATCTTTACCAAGTTATCGTGCACATACATGTAGCACGGGAAAGTTCTGAATAGACGTTATCCAGAACTCGGCAATTGTGGGTTTTTCCCAGCTAATCTGTAGGTACAAACTTAACTTTTACCATTATAGATTCACGTTGCATTACCCATCACAATAGGTAAGTCAACCTGTTTCGCTTATTTTCGAAGCTTAACTGTAACCAGATTTGCCAGGAAAAACCCAAATATTCTTAATTCCGGAGTAAGTCAATTCAGACATCTAACAATACTGAAACCTTAATTTTTCTATATGACAATAAAAGAAATATGTACCATTTTATAGAAATAGTAACATATTGATATAATTGCCATTTTATACAATGGTGACTAACAGCTTTCACGTATAAAGAATTTTTTTTTAAGTACAAAATATAACTTATACATCATTATTCTGTTAAAAAAAAAACCAACTCAACATTATAAAACACTTTGTCAATCAACACCAGTTATTATTCCTTCCAATAAAACATCACTTAAATCTGTACAAATAAATATCGTATTTATCAGATTAGGGAGCCAAGCACAGTATCAATATCACATTATAAGCTTTTAACAGTTAGTGGCAATATACAGACTTGGCCAATGCCAGAAATAAAAGTCTGTTATATACATACAGACTAGGATATATACTTGCAGCTGTTTAATTTCAACATTTAACTGTTGACCAGCCTTTACCTTGTTACGGAACTTTTCTCAACTCGTTCATGGAAGGCAAGGAAATAATTCACAACTATGACATGAAAATCTTGGAAGAATATTACTCTGGACATAAAATAATTATATCTTTTACAATAACACTTCAAGATCTATTCCATAAATAATAAAGTATGAATGGTAAGTTTCAAATAAATATACCATAAAGAAATTGATATCAATAATATCCTTTACATGTAAACCAGGAAGAAATTGGAATTGACATTGGGCTTTTAGATATGACTAAAATCTGTACCATAAGTAAACTGGTATTAACAATCTACACCATTAGGTAATTGGTAATAACAATCTAAATCATGAAGAAATTGGTATTAACAATCAGTTTCAAGATAAAGACTCATAATATGCTTCAAAGAAATTGGTATCAACATTTTGTAGTTTATCTAAAAAAATTCGTAAAAGTATTACTAAAACTGGTTGTACCATATTTCCAGCTAGTAGTTTATGACATGGGTATACACTCTTGTTATCTTATAATAGACAGCTAATGTACAGTAACAATATAACATAATAACTCTTAAAACAGGGAAGGGGTATATATATATATGTACATGTATATACATGTATAATATAACAGTGAATACATTATAGTAGTAGGGATTAAGAGAAAGAAACAGACAGAAATAAAGCAAGAAAGAGCAAAAAAGGATAAACTGGTCAAGATAGTTAGAATTGAAGATTTACTACCCTAAAAATGGATTAATTTTTGTTCACAATCATGCATGATTTGTATATATACGGTAAATCAAATATAAACTTACACATATAGATGGGTGAGGGATGCAAATTTGATTTTACAATAATTCAGTTTGGTATACAGCTATCTGAAGTGGGGGCAAGGGGAGAAACATGAATTAAAATGGAAGCAATTTTGATCACAGTCGGCAAAACAAACAGGGTCCATTATAAGTGAGACCACTCCTCGATGGCGGATGTGGAAGAGTTGTCTACGGTATCTTCAGAGAGACTCCACTTGGCAGGAGTTGAGCTGAGGGAACTTGTACGACTGCTGGTTCCGTCGCTGCTGGTAGACTCTACTGATAACCGCATTCCTTTACCTTGTTGCTCATAGCAATCCTGCAAAAGTAAAAGAAAATATATACAATAATTATAATGCTCAAAATCTAGAAAATCCCTTTAACAGTTGACAACTAAAAACTTTTTTGCAGGTAACATGATTTTACAAGACTGTTGAAACAATATAACCATGACAACCATAACAAAATATTGCAAAATAATTTTTAATATTTTAATGAAATGTAAGTTTACCTCAATAAAATTTGCAATTAAGCTTATGCATATTATAATAAATCCTTTACTTGGCAAACAATTTCTAATAATGAATGATAATTAAAGAGCAAGAAAATCATTATTTTTTCATATTATTTTGAAGAAAACACAGTATCAAGTTTAAAGACTCATTTTGCTTTATTCATGTTTATTTTTGCAGGAACGAAATTTGTACAAGTGTTCTATATTTCTTCATGGTCAAAGTGAAAGTGAATGCAAAATGCTGTCTCAAAATATGAACATCAGGTAGGGGATAAATTATTTAGGTAAAAGTACAACATGCAATAAATAGATTCAAACTAAACTGTGTACAGACTGCTTTTAAAGAAAATGTAATAAATTTTAAAATTTAAATTCTTGCATGCCATTATATAAACAGAAGAAGCTTAACAAAGTCAGCGATTTTTTCCTTGTATAAGTGGTAATGATTAAACAAACAATTTGGATATTTGTTTTCTTCACAATTTTCTCTGTACTGGACAAACATACACAATTTAGAGGGTGGAGGGTGGGGTGGAGGAATCACTGAGAATTGAGGGTAGGCATAAATTCATTGAATGGGTGGTGGGCAGAGGCATTCAAAAAGCTGTTCAAATGATATCAAAGGTAAATAGTGAAGTTAGTTTATGTCAGGCTTAAATGCACTGGTTTGGAACCAGGTCTTTTTAGGTCCATCATAAATTGCACCAGTTTTCATAGACTGGCTTTATCACCAAGATCAAAAGCCAATAACAAAAGTTAATATAACACAGTAAATGACAGCAAGCAGTCTATACATCTGTAACAACAGCATGAACAATTAACAGGTGACATAGTCTGAAGATATCTGCCAATGACTTATGTTATTAGTCAATTAGAACATAATAGAAAACCATGTGGAAGAACAAGAATATTGGTTGACACCAATCAATGTATCCCCCCTCCCCCAACCCTTCTTTGACTCAGCTGAAGATGTAAAACCTTAGGAGCCTGCTGGGAACACTTCATTAAGACAGAAAAGACAGTAGAAAATACACAGTAGAACATATACATTTAGACAATGCTGAAGGATTGAGGAAAAAATATGTCAAATACAAATATTTTTTACAGATGAATATAATATTATATATTATGGCATGCTATTCAAGCTATTGATAGCTAGCATGCTTCCTTAATCTATCATATTATTAGAAAATTCATCCCCTATAGTTTACTATATAAACTGTTATTGCTTCAAACATTTTATTAACAATTTGAACAAATTACAAACTAAATAACAGATTTGTTAGTGCATTGTTACACTAATAAACTATCAAAAACAGTTCCAGTGCTTATAAAATTAACAAATTAACTCAAAACAACCACCCAAAGTACCTATTCATTTCAGTAAAACAGAAAGATTAAGAACTTTGGCCTGGAAAATAACACAACTTACACCAATTTTCTAGCTGTTACAACAACAAAAAGACAGGAATCATAGGAGACAGAAATCTCAGGAAAAGATGACCATAATGGTCAGTTATTTGCTCATTTATAAACATTTCCTATCACATATAAGCCAATATAAACTGCTCAATTGGCATATTGGACTTGTCCTAATTAGACTTTGGAACTGTCCAAGGGTTTTTATATATACAAGAGCTGTCAGAAGGACAGCTTGCTCAACTTTTCTCAGAGACTGATTGTAAAAAATGTACATTTTTTAAAGTTCAAATAGAGCAATAATTTTATCAAAATCCATGTTAAGAGTTTTGGGCCTTGGATAAAGACCTCATATTATGCTCTCAAATAAATTTGTGAAGTTTCAACCCATCCTTTCAGTAGTTTTGGAGATAAAAATGTGCGTGCAAAAACTAAACCAAAGTGTGACACTGCTGCCAACACGTGGGGGAGGTTCCTGTTCTTTGAACAGTTAAGCTAAAAATTAGTTTTTGAGCTTAAAAAACAATAAATGAAGCAATCATTATTACTATATAGTCTGACCAGATTGCTGGTCTGACTTTATACTTGTAATACAGGTTAGTTTGTATTTATAATGGCATTTATAGAAAAATGTCAGAAAAAAGACTTTTATATAGCTTCCAAAGTTATGTTAATTTTCATGAAAAGGTCTAATAACAAGTATACAAAGTCATTTAATCTAACCTAAGCCACACATTATCCACAGAAATTACTATTAACTTGTCAATACAGGTAGAATTTCATCAAGCTGGCTTTGAATTGAATCTTATAATAATATCTTCAATTTTCATACTTTTCATTATTATTGTATTGTTAGCAACTTTAAACTATTTTTTAGCAACATTAAAACTATATTTAACCAGATTTTTGTACTAACAATTAATAACTTAACCATGTACATCAAACAATCACAAAATTCATTATGAACACTCTGTGCTCACAGGAGTTAAAAAAACTAAGCAGTGAATGCATGGCACATGCATACAAAAAAGCTTGCAAAACACAACACTTTGTTAAACTGAGTAAACTGGCTCTGTCAGAATGAAAACTATACATGTACATTAATTCTTTTTCTTATTATATGCCAATTTTAACATATTTTTAGCCTTTTTTTGGTGGTCAATCTACCAAACATTTCTCAAAAGAGCGACTACATATGATAAATTTTCATGCTGATAAAATGTTTACTCAGTTTTTTTCAGTGTAGGACTGAAATGGTGAAATAAAGAACCACCTGTGCCTTGGAAAGTATGTCCGTTAAGTTTCAACCCATCCTTTCAGTAGTTTTGGAGATAAAAATGTGCGTACAGACCCAACACGTGGGGGAGGTTCCTGTTCTTTGAAACAGTTAAGCTAAAAATCAATTTTTGAGCAAGAAAAACAATAAATGAAGCAATCATGATTACTATAAAGTCTGACCAGATTGCTGGCCTGACTTTATACTTGTAATAAAGATTAGTTTGTATTTATAATGGCATTTATAGAAAAATGTCAGAAAAAATACTTTTATATAGCTTCCAAAGTTATGTTAATTTTCATGAAAAGGTCTAATAACAAGTATACAAAGTCATTTAACCTAACCTAAGCCACACATTATCCACAGAAATTACTATTAACTTGTCAATACAGGTAGAATTTCATCAAGCTGGCTTTGAAATGAATCTTATAATAATATCTTCAATTCTCATACTTTTCATTATTATTGTATTGTTAGCAACTTTAAAACTACTTTTTAGCAACATTAAAACTATATTTAACCAGATTTTTGTACTAACAATTATTAACTTAACCATGTACATCAAACAATCACAAAATTCATTATGAACACTCTGTGCTCACAGGAGTTAAAAAACTAAGCAGTGAATGCATGGCACGTGCATACAAAAAAGCTTGCAAAACACAACACTTTGTTAAACTGAGTAAACTGGCTCTGTCAGAATGAAAACTATACATGTACATTAATTCTTTTTCTTATTATATGCCAATTTTAACACATTTTTAGCCATTTTTTGGTGGTCAATCTACAAAACATTTCTCAAAAGAGCGACTAAATATGATAAATTTTCATGCAGATAAAATGTTTACTCAGTTTTTTCAGTGTAGGACTGAAATGGTGAAATAAAGAACCACCTGTCTAAGTATGTCCGTTAAGGTGGTACAGACCCAATACTTGAGTTACTCCCTGAATCTTCTAGTCGAGGTGACCCCTACAGCATAGTTTATATGTATAAATATATATATTCATATACCCTTACAACATACAATGAATTTTGAAAATAAATGTCAACAAGAGCGCCACATAGACAGGGCAATATACGTCTGAATGCAAATTTGTTAAAAGTAATCAAAATTTTAAAGTAACAAAAATTAATCTTAAAATTAGAGAAGATACCCATTCATTACACTTGTCTGGAACATTTTATATTTCAATTATCTATATCATACTAACTGACTCCCAGAGATTTATAACCACCAGTGCATTGTTTTTCCATTGAACTTTTGTTGAGATCTATACTGATATATACCAAATAACTTTGCTTTAGTCACAATAAAACTAAGCGATACTTTCTTTTTTGGTTGGGTTTTACCAACACAGTATAAGTCATATGGCAACTTTCCAGCTGCACTTGTGGAGGAATGCCTCATGTGCCTTTTTGTGGATTCTTTTACATTTCTTTTGTTCATTTCTTTCGTTTAACAGATGGTCATTGGCACTTGATTGTAAGGTTACAGAATGGACACTATTGTTCCCTTTTGTCCTTTTACAGTTAGATGCCCCCCATCCTTATCAAAAGGGCAGCCAGAAGGACTGCCAGGTGCATAACAATATATGCCAACATTTTGTTTTTTGGCACATCAAAACATTTCTGCCCTTACCACATACATATAATTAGCATATCATTTAAATAAGCATATAATATATTTATATGAAACCAGGAAGTATTTAATTCCAATCCAAAACAACACAAAACAAAAAGCTATGTATGTTGGTCATTTAAAACGCCCTTACAAATGATCACTTTTAACCAAATACAACCTTTTTCGAATATCCCTGTAAACAAGTAAGATTAAGTAAAATAAGTATCTAGGTATTTTCTAATGACCACATACAGGCATAGTTGTGTACATATTTGGTACAAAAAATCTTCTACATGGCACATATCGCATAAAGATTATATACAAGTATGCTATGCTTCTGGCAATGCAAATGAATATGTGCATGAACAAACGTTCCAAAACATGTATATCATCTGCATATTATATGACTATGGATCAAGAGATATGAGCTGCGTCACGACAAAACCAACATTGTGCGTTTGCGACAAGCATGGATCCAGACCAGCCTGAGCATCTGCGCAGTCTGATCAGGATCCATGCTGTTCGCTATCAGTTTCTCCAAGTGTAATAGAGATAAGCAAACAGCATGGATCCTGATCAGACTGCGCAGATGCGCAGGCTGGTCTTGATCCATGCAGTTGCAAACCCACTATGTTGGTTTTGTCGTGATGCGGCTCAATTATAATAAATGCTTATTCCTCTTCTATTTCCTACAAAGACAATGAAAGTTACTTCTAATAGCTTATTTTAGGGCTGCTATTTACAAATGTAATTAGCCTATATACATTTGTATTTAAGCTTCATGCATGTCATTATCAATCAAATTTATCTTTTGCAAAGCAAAAAATACTGGTTTCTGAACTTGCCAAAATAGAGAAAACACAAAGAATGTAATGATAAAGTTTAGTACAATACAATTAAAATTGAAGTACATGTATGTAGGAAGAATGGTCCTATTTTTTCCTTAATTCAAAGGCAAAATATTTATCCTTTAAGGTAGCATAATATAATTTAATTTCATAACTATTCATTTAAATGGACAAACTGATATTACAAGGGAACTTTCATTATGTTAATCTGTTAACTAATCAGAGACTTACTGTGCTACTTTGAAGCACAAAATGCCATTATTATCTAATTTTATTCAAGTAAATGCACAACAATAATTGGACAAAAATTTTGCTATATTTAGAACGATTTGCCTGCATTGGCCAACTTTGAATTCGTGTAAATGGTCTAAACCTGTCTAAAAGTAGCACAATATGATTTGAGCCGCGTCACAACAAAACCAACATAGTGCATTTGCGACCAGCATGGATCCAGACCAGCCTGCGCATCATCGCAGTCTGATCAGGATCCATGCTGTTCGCTATCAGTTTCTCTACTTGTAATAGGGTTGGTAAGCGAACAGCATGGATCCTGATCAGACTGTTGGTTTTGTCGTGACGCGGCTCATTTTACAGATGTATCTTATTCATGTGAATGAAAAATTAATACAACTCTTGATGACAATGTAAAAGCATGACTGCTGTGCAGTAACTTCTATTATCACATCTAGCATTAAAGTCTAACCCTAAATGGTATGTTAGAAACCTCTAGATGGTGTTATAGGTATAGTGTGTGTATATATATATATAATATATGATAGTTTAAAGTCAATTCCAAGGACTCACCTCGAACATGGTGGGTGACGGTTCTCCTACTAAATTTTGATCAGGACTCTCTGATGGGTCCAATCGTAAAGATCCACCTACTTGCCTGTCTCGTGGGGCATTACCTACAATGAAGAACAAATTCAAATCAAACAACCGAGTCTAATATATTACATATTCACCTGCTGCAATATGACCTTGAAAAAGGGTTTCAGAAATGATTGTAAAACTCAATATTACATTATTATACATTTTATAGAGATTCATTTTTTTATTGGTGATTTACAGTAAAACAAGAAACATGGCAATGCCATGAAACCAGGTTTTCAATTATCACCATTGTAGATAAATATGTTGTATTTGAAATACAAATACAAGCAACAAACAATGTAACTATGTGCAATGTAAAACATGAATAATGTAGGAGGAATTGCCACAGAGGAAGTGTTCACTATAATTATATTCTGTATAAGGAAAAAAAAATAAAGGGCCATAATTAAATAAAAAATTATTCAATCACAAAACCCCGACAATATGCTCCAGGGCACTGGATGACAAAGCTACTGTGAAAGTTTGAACAAAATCCATTGAGAAATGTAGGCGTTCAGCACAGAAATTTTTTTTCACTATATATTCTGTATAAGGAAAAATAACAAAGGGCCATAATTAGGTCAAATATTATCCAATCACAAAACCCCGATAATGTGCGCCAGGGCACTTGATGACAAAGCCTCTGTGAAAGATTGGTCAATTTAATCTGTTGAGAAATGTAGGAGAAGTTGCGCATGGTAAAAATTGTTCACTATATAAATGTATAAGGAAAAAAAACAAAGGGCCATAATTAGGTCAAATATTATCCAATCACAAAACCCCGATGATGTGGGCCAGGGCATTTCATAACAAAGCCTCTGTGAAAGTTTGGTCAAAATCTGTTGAGAAATGTAGGAGAAGTTGCGCATGGTAAAAATTGTTCACTATATAATCTGTATAAGGAAAAAAAACAAAGGGCCATAATTAGGTCAAATATTATACAATCACAAAACCCTGACAATATGCCCTAAGGCACTTAATGACAAAGCCTCTGTGAAAGTTTGGTCAAATTCCGTTGAGAAATGTAGGAGGAGTTGCGCACAGAAGAAATTGTTTACGCCCGCCCGCCCGTCAGCCCGCCCGCCGACATACCTCAATCTAATAACCAGTTTTTTCCTTCGGAAAACCTGGTTAAAAAACGACCCATTTTACAAATGCGATTAAATGTTAAGTTGAATTTACTTTTTAACAATTATTTATGTATTTCATGTGACCTTTCTACATACAAAACATATCAAAGGGGAGTAAATAGTTTTTAAGTTAAAATAGCATAGCTTCTATTACTCCCCTTTGATTCATGTAAGTTTCACATATAGTTTCATATTAACCCATTACTTCATATACACGCCTTTTAACGCCTTTTTCACCCCCCCCCCCCCTTTTTTGTTGTCTCAAATGATGAAAAAATGCCTTATTTAGGCCCCAAACACTTGATTTTGTTTGAGAAATGTTGTTAAAAAAAGTGACCTCTTTTTCGGCGCGGACCCCCAACCTAAAGATACACCAGGGGGTTTGAAGGGGGGCGGAGTCCCCCTCATCGCCAACAAAATTTTGGACTTGTGAGAGGCTGTAAATGACCCCAGATTGATCATAAGGTAACGTGTAACCAACGCTGAAAAGCATTTGACTCTATCTCAATCCATTGAGAAGTTGCAGCACTTTGAAATCAATTTTGATGGAAAAAATCAACGCAAAATAGTGATTTTTGGCAATTTTGAGATGTCCCCTCGTTGCCATGGTAACAGAAAATTTAAGCCTGAGCAACAAGTTGCAAGGGCAATGGTCCAGTCAACATTTGTGCCAAGTTTGATTAGTGTTGAAGCAGTTTTTATAGTATTATAGCAATTTGAACTTGTAACGGGAGACTTTTCAATGAAAACAGCCATTTTTCACAAAATGCTCATGAAGTAATGGGTTAACCTACTGGGACCAAAATTGATCAGCCTTTGCCACCAGTATAGAGCCAGGCCAGCCTGCACATCTGTGCAGTCAGACCAGGCTCTATACTGTTGGCAGCTCAATTTTTGTATTTTGATATTGAAATCCCCTGTACTTTGAATGGACTGTTTTAAATTCAAAGCTGGACAGATCCATTATAGAAATAAAGCAGGCAACGTATTAATACTCCACCTACCATTCTGCGACCTTATTCCTCTAGCTGGTTGTTTCTCTGACATAGATTTGCTGTTAAATAAGTTTCTTCCACTTTTCTTTGGTGGTCCACCACTGGGTAAACTGTTGGATCCTGCCATGCTCATCTAAAATTAAAACACAACCATGTATTATATAATATTGTTTTATTCAACAAGTTCAATAAACTTACTACTGAATCTACATGAATGTAATATTCTATTTATCACATTTCAAAAATAAGAACAGTTTACACTAGTATTAAAAATAGTTGTTTTTCGTTGACGAGCTTATAGCGTTATGCTAACATACTACGTATAGTGTGCTTTTGACGTTATTTCTGTATATAACGTAAAAGACATAACATCAAAGAGTTCCTTCACTGATGTAAAAATGTTTTCATTTAATGGATTTACAACACTCCTGTGCTGTGTTTTTCATATGATAAACCTTTATAATGGTAAACACACACTCTCAGTTAGCAAAACTTCACTATACAGATCATTGCCAGCTGGGGCTAGTCCATTACACCAATGCAGAGTAGTATGAAAGGTCACTTTATGGTTTGTTCACGGGTGGTTCAACAGAAAAAAAAATCCTACCCTTGCAGTATTCAGATCCATCAGTTCAGGCATCCCCTGATTCGGCCCAACATGTGCAATATGACTAAAGTTGATTGGGGCTGAGATTGCACGTGATTTTCTATCAGACCTGCAAACATATAATGCAATGTCAATAACTCAAAATATACATGGAAATATAAACTGCATGCAAAAATAGAAAGATATATATCTAGAACTGGGAATGCACAGTCCTTACAAGCAATATACTAATTAAATAAAATAAGTAACATATCCATATCATATTAAGAAACATTTCTATACATCTGAATATTCCTATTATGGAATCATCTATCAAAAGCTAAAAGAAAATCATATTGTTGTACCTTTGTTAAAAACAAAATATTTAAAGTTCACTGTCAAATAAGAAAACTTATTCATCTGGAATAATACCCTAGTATTGAATGGTTTAATGGAATGAATGGCAAAACAAATTTTCTCTAGGATATAAATATGTTCAGTGAACATTACAGTCATATGTAATTTAGATATGAAGGGCAATGTTATAAATATGCCACCTCTGCTTGAAGGGATATTTTCATAAACAGTATTTGCAACAAATAAAACTGAATACTACCCCAGGTAAAAACTTATTCAAGGAATTATTGTGTCTATATGGGAATGGCAAAGATATCAAAATGGCCAGGTTATATAGTTTTGGCTAACCCACTTCCAATTTTTATCTTGAAATTCCCAAAAGATAAACTATGCACAGGTTCATTTAAGGAATCTGGCCTGATCAAAGATATTTAGCTTTGCCTGGATTAAAATAAGATGTTTTTTTCCTTCTTTTCTTTCTATTTTGTTAAGTAGATGGTGTAGAGATATATATAGCAAAAGCAGGTACTTGGTGATGAACAAAGTAAAATTTAAGAATTCATAAAAAAATGATCTGTCAGAATATAAGCATGATATGACTTTAACACATTTTTGGTTATATCTTAACGGTCTGTCCTCCACCGAACCAGCTTTTCTGGATAACCAACCAGTTCTTCGTAAGTAACCAACTATCAATCTTACATCATTTCTGAATCAGCTGTGACAGACAAATGACCATTAGATTTATTCAAAGTCCTTGCCAAAGGATCAAACTACCGACTCCTGGATCACAAATTTGATGATTCTATCTATAAAGCTTAGCAAGCACTCATGCATCATACCCAATTTCATAACTTTCAATACTTAAGTTGTAGAAAAAAATATAAGAAAAATAACATATTTTCACATTACCATCATCTACTATAAGTTAACTAGCTGTCATAACCTATTAGTAAACAACAAATATGCAATTTACAAATCATATCAAACAGCAAACTGTTCCCCTTCACCTCTAACAACTTATCTACAAGCAGGCCATCATGTCAAACTGACCACACATCAACATATACATAATATTGGTTTATAATGTTTTTTTTTTTACTAGCTTTTGTGAAAATCTTCTAATTTTTTTGCTGTCAGGCTAATTATTTCAACCACTTATATGTTTTTTATAAGCAGGGGACAGAAGCCCTTTAAGTATCAAATTACTGAACATCAGTGATTATGAAACTCATTTTTTAATATGTAGACTACTTTTTGAAATAAAACTGAAAAGTGATTAGCCTTTGCCACTGGTATAATGTTAGGCCAGTTTGATACCGATGCAGTCTGACCTGGCTACTGTTGGTAGATAAATTTTTGTATTTCAATATTGCAATCCTGTATATTTTGAATGGACTGTTCTAAATCTAAAGCAAGACAAATCCATTCAGCAGTTGAAGGGTTAACTATCTAAAACACAGACAGTGAAAATGATTTGCCCTATGCTACTAGAATAGAGCAAAGCTAGCCCACATTTTACAGTCAGAGCAATGCAAAAATTATATGTTTAAATCTTAAAAACATCAGTTCAATTTCTTTACAACTGTCCCATATAACATTTTAAGTATTTGACCAGCCCCTCTTTTACAACATCACTTAAAATGAAATACGCATTCAGACTTAAGCTCGTCCTTTTACTAAATTTACTAGCTAGCCTAAATATTTACTAATTATAGGTCTCGCAGCCTAAGCTACAACTTATAAGACTGCAATCTAAAATGTTTCAACTGAAAATAGAATCATGCCATGGGCTACAAAGCAACTGCTGAAAATAATGAAGAAATTCTACAAAATGTGTTCCTTTTATGCTTTATATAACAAGCATGCTTCAAAGCTGAAATTAGTACCTCTGTACACATAGAACTGGTATATCTGAATAAACTTATATATATATATATATATGTATATAAATGAACACTTCTCACAACACATTCATCCTCATGCAAACAAAGCAAGCAAAAAAGCAAAATAGTGACCCCCGTGCATCTCTCAGCTCTATCTATAGCAGCAAATCTATCTGTCTATTATTAGCTCTGATTATTTCTAATCCATAACTTTGGCAAAATCTATATCAATTTATTTCTGATACATTCAGTTTTGTATTTAGATGGTTTTTTATTGTGATAGTTATCATAAACTTTGCGAGCGCATAATAATAATAATAATATAGGTACTCCAATCTTATTAACAATGAATTTTTCAAACAATTTTAGCTTCAAGAATCATCAAAATGAAATACAAGCTTTGAGAGCTACTGAAAGTAATCTCATTGCGTGCAAAGCTTGGATCAAATCTGTTTTCCAGCTGGATTTAGAATTACATCTGAAACATAGTTTAATAATGTCTCATTACAACTTCGCAATTTTAGTGCTTGAGGTAGACGTCAGGTGCCCCTCCATGCATCATTTCGAGCACAAGTGGGCACCTGAGTAGAAACCTTAGAATTTACATACACTTCATGGATATGCTTTTAACTGATATTGCTAATATTGGTACATAAGTTATTTTATATTATATTTAGTGATATATATATTTCTGTTGCTACACATATATAGATGAGCTGTGAGAGGAGAGAATGAAGCGAGGCAGATATTATACTGTTGCATGCAAAGTACACAGAGAATGAGTGACAATAGAGTATCCTTACGCTGAGGCAACTGGTAGTTTTTGGTCCGGACCCATGTGAGCTATATGACTGAATGACATGGGGGCTGAGATCTCCCGTGATCGACTAGCAATGAAATACAATATACATAGTCAGAATTTTAGATTCACCACTTGTTATTTAAGCACGATTGTGAATAAACTTGTAGCTTAATTTAAACCACTCTAGAGTCTGCTTCCTGGAACTGACCAGTACTGGCCTCGAGGTTATAAAACTTTTATCCAAGTTGTGTCTTGAATCTCAGGATTTTCATTGGTCAACATATGTTGTGTGCTGGTTTCTGACCAATCAAAAACCTGAGATCTGAGTTTGTGCTCATTAAATTTTATCATAACCTCGGACCCTAGTATCATGAGGAAACATGGTGGAGACCATAGTAGTTCTCAAACCCATGACCCCTGGGTCGAGACCATTTTTAGCTGTTTTTCAATTTTTTGAGCTTTTACATACATTTCAGAAATCAAGAGTTATAAAATATTCAAAGAACTAGTATAACATGATATATTTTAGCATTCCAAAGTCTGTTAAGTCTGTTAACAAAACTACAGGCCGTTGTCTCCGCTATAATATGAATCAGACAGAATCTCACATCTCTTGCTGTTAAATATTCGATTATACGTTATAAAACAGTACACTAAGGAAACAATAATATATGCTATAGAAAAATAATGAAAGAAAAACGCTACCCGAGATTATAGGAGGCAACATGAATGAAAAATGATTGTATAACAGCATTTATACATAAACCATGCCTTAGTATTAACAAAGTCTATTAATATGTTATTATAGTAGAACTGTAACTGATACAAAACACATGACACTATCTGAAGTTAACAAACCTGGAGGAAATATAAGTACTTGTAATAGACACATCTGTTATCACATTCAAACCTTTTTCTGCCTATATACAATATTTAGAATACATAATTTTGGGATAAATAAGGTGAAAAACTAACCAAACTGAAAATTTACAAGTATTTTAAATTTCTTACCACCATACATTTGACCGGCTTTAATAAAAAAGCAATAAACATGTTAAATTAATAATACAAGTCTATACAAAGAACACAGTATACTCATAGGTACAAATTGTTTTGTTATTTTTGTTACTAATTTGAGAATTTCCAGTTACAAAATGGGACAAAATCGGCACGAGGTAAGTTTCCAACACTGTAACCCCCGAGTTATAGGCAGAAAAAGGTCTTCTTATGTAAACATTTGTATCTTAGCTAAAATGTTCAAATTCATATTATGAAGCCCCATAAATTTGTCCCATTTCAATTAAAACGTATATATATTAAAGACATTGATTAATCATCACACGACTATGTTAAAAAGCACCCAAATTACTCTCTTCTTTGCTTCCTTGTTAATAAACTGTGGAAAATCCATACAATATGTATCTTTAACACTCCCTGAACCATAAAAGCTGACTTTTCTCTTTGTCTTTTATCATATAGGATTATGATTGAGTTTACAGGTATCAGGACATAACATTAGCTTTCTTACCCTTTTCCACTTCTATCATCTTCTCGCGTTTTAAACGAGAATCGTCTTTTATTCCTGTTAACACTTCTTCCTTTAAACAATTCTGCAATCTGCAGTTTGTCTTCATCTAAAATCAACAAAACACAAAATGATTCAAAAACATTAAATCATAGTTCTTCTTTTAAACTGGCCTGACTTGCATACATATATTAATTATTTCATGAGGCAATTCAATGAATTATATTCTAAATTTTTTTTTCTAGAAAGATTCTACCAATAAAATAGGATAATTCAGTTCATTGCGTTGGAAGAAATATATTGGCGCAAATGCCACCTGCTTTTTATGAGTTTACATAATCATTCCCTACAGATTAAAGGCAAATTTCGCCTCTCAAATTGAATAAATTTTTCATTCTGTTGAAAATGGAAAAAAATAGTGTTTTTTAATATTGTAATACCGTACAAAGAACATGTAAGATGCTTATCACCTGAAGAAAATAGCACTGGATACGAATTAAACTTTGAGAAAGGTAACAAAATATAAACTAACAAGACGGAAATAAGGCCTTTCATACAAGATTTACAATATAACAATTAGCCAAAATGCAAAAAGAAGCAATAGATGACCTATAAGTAAATATTTTATCACTAAATGGACTAAGTGCTATGAAATTTTTTTGAAAAATAAAAATATTACCATTTCTGAGGCTAATGGACTCTTAAGTACTTTGGTATGATATTTATTAACCTACAAACTAATATACTATTCAATCACAGACATATTGCAATACCTACTAGAGACAGAGTACGTACCATTTTGGATATTCTTGAAGTAAATCAAATGAAGAGCGTCGAAATTGTTGATTAAATTGAGGGTACCATCCCTGTTGATTGGTTTCGTCTTTTTTAGACAGAGAGTCTGTACCCACTCTGATGTCTGTACGTCATAGACAAACACAGAGTTCTCTGTATAACAGATGAGGTAGGGAGCACTGTAACCTATAAGAACAAGATTATCACATGACATTCATACTTATTATACAGTACACTTCCCATGCAACATGAATTTTATTCCCCTTGATTGTGTTTTAAGTGATATTGCTAAATCAAGGTCATGACTATTCTTATACAGCCACTTTACTTATCAAATTCTCTCCCTATTCAGTTAAGCAAGCAAATACTTGGAATAGAGCAGGGAGATTTTCTGGTTTACTCTTAAGATAAATACCTGGTTAAACCTGTACTGATGTAGAATGAGAAAAGAAAGATATTGTTATCTTAAATGAATATAGTAACTAAACTATTTCAGTTGCTTAAGTTGATAAGAACCATGTTTCGAATATGTAACCTTAAAACTTTGACCATGCCTCTATGAATTAAGTTTTTCTTACAAGAAATATTACATTTAGATAACAAGTAACTTACTGATTGACGTAGGAGCTGCTGGCCACATTATTTCTGACTGTCTACTCTTCCTACCATGACTATCTACATATATACCACACACTGAAATATATCATACAACAGCAATCAGAATAGTGTACAAATATATCATAACACACTGAAATATATCATACAACAGCAATCAGAATAGTGTACTAATACATCATAGCACACTGAAATATATCATACAGCTGCAATCAGATCAGTGTACTAATACATCATAGCACACTGAAATATATCATACAACAGCAATCAGAACAGTGTACTAATACATCATAACACACTGAAATATATCATACAGCTGCAATCAGAATAGTGTACTAATATATCATAACACACTGAAATATATCATACAGCTGCAATCAGAATAGTGTACTAATATATCATAACACACTGAAATATATCATACAGCTGCAATCAGAATAGTGTACTACTATATCATAACACACTGAAATATATCATACAGCTGCAATCAGATCAGTGTACTAATATATCATAACACACTGAAATATATCATACAGCTGCAATCAGAATAGTGTACTAATATATCATAACACACTGAAATATATCATACAGCTCATAACACACTGAAATATATCATACAGCTGCAATCAGAATAGTGTACTAATATATCATAACACACTGAAATATATCATACAGCTGCAATCAGAATAGTGTACTAATATATCATAACACACTGAAATATATCATACAGCTGCAATCAGAATAGTGTACTACTATGTCATAACACACTGAAATATATCATACAGCAACAATCAGAATAGTGTACAAATATATCATAACACACTGAAATATATCATACAGGGCCCTTATAAGAAACACTGAAATATATCATAACACACTGAAATATATCATCTAGTGTCCTCATAATACACAATATATCACCCTGTATCATTATAGTACACACTGAAATATATCATCTAGTGTCCTCATAATACACAATATATCACTCTACACACTGAAATATATCATCCAGGGTCCTTATAATAATCATGCAGGGCCCTTATAATACACACATTGAAATATAGCATCCAGTGTCCTCATAATACACAATATATCACCCTGTATCATTATAGTACACACTGAAATATATCATCCAGTGTCCTTGTTATAGACACTGAAATATATCTTACAGCAACCATCAGAACAGTGTATTAATACATTGAACACACTGAAAATATATCATCTAGTGTCCTCATAATACATACTGAAATACATTATAAAGCAGACATCACAGCAATGTACCAACACATCATAAAACACACTGAAATACATGTATATCATTCACTGTATTCAAATGTTCAGTCAATTATACCAGGTAGCTTACTCCAGTGTACAATGAATAATTTTGAAATGTCATACCTGAAATAAGTTACACAGCAAAGATAACTCTAGCTAATAACACATAACTGCAAAAAGTTACCAAAGCATTCAAAAGGGTATCAAGGAAACCCCAGTATGAAAGTGAACAAAAGACAGTTACTACCTAAAAAATTAGTTTCTATCACATAATAATTAGCAAAGAAGAAATGACTGTTTAATTTCTTTGTCTATAAATTTACTTCATTTAAGTCAAAGTTACATGATATTCATAAAAAAGATCTTACTCAACTAATCCCAACATATACTTTCTAATTATTTACATGTTTCAATTATATAGATAAAGTTAGACCAAAATACATTATCTATTCTGTGCATTCATGCTATTGTGCTCAAAGTTTTTATCCGAAGATGCAAAAAGTTACTAATAAATGAATATTCAATTCAAAATTGAAATGAATATTCAACATGGTTAAAATTTACTTATAAATATTATACAGTACATACAGTCGACTCTCGTTATCTCGAAGTCATCGGGACCGTCCAAAAAATATCGAGATAACGAAATGTCGAGATAAACATACTAGGGTTTGAGTAAGGCAGAAACTGATTTTTACAAAGGACATATGCATACCTTTGTCAAATAAACTATAGTATCCCCATTTCTTGTTTTCATAGGCCTAGTCAATATTAAACAAAGTAACATAATTGGATGTTTACCAGCGGTATACGGGTGTCTGTGATAAAAACACATAGTGAGGTTTACTCAGTAATACACCACTATAGTGAAAACATTGTTTTCAGGGTGGTTGATCCGGATATCCTCCCCGTATTCATCGGGTCTTTCTCGAGATTGTTCAACCGCTGATTGATTTGGTAGTGATGTTGTATAATTATATTGCAACGATAGAGTTTCTATACTTTCACTTTTTCACTTACATTTTAAGTCATAATGAATTGATACAATGTTTGAATATTTATAAAGAACGTAAAATTCACTCTTTTTGGACAAAAGTCAATCAACACGTTAAATAGATTAACTTTTATAAAAACAGCTCGACTTGTTACAAACATAATCATCATTATGACACGCGCTATTGAGCAATTATCGTCTAGTTTGTGTTTTTCACAAGTCTGAAGGGAACAGACGAAAGAAAACTATTAGTCGAGATAAACAAAAAGGATAATAGTGTGAAAATAACTGTTGGGGCTGAAATTTTACATCGAGATACTGAAAATATCGAAATAAAAATATCGAGATAAATAAATATTTCCAATATAGATAAAGAAGGAAGAAAATCGGGACTTTCAAAATTTCATCGAGATAACGAAATATCGAGAAAAGCCATGTCGAGATAACGATAGTTGACTGTAATTTGAGTTACATATGTAAATATCTTAAAATTTATCAATAAAAAATAATTCAACTTACCACTAAATGCAAGAAGGTACTCTTTTTCTGAGACTTCCACGGCCAGCATGGAATCTACAGAACTATGCACCAGAAACTGTAGTTGACTATCTTCCGTATTCACAAGACTAATTGGGGCTTCCTCCTTCAATAAATTGTATATCACAAAACTCGACTGGTAGCCTACACACAGTTTGTCCCCCCATAAATCTAAAAACTGCACTTGACCCGTCACCGGAATGTCGCGAATTTTCCGGTGTTTTTGTCGTGTTTTAGTCAATTCAAATGCCATTATTGTGCGTTTCATGGCCACACAAAGATAAGTGTTCATGTCAGCACGATGGCCGGTATTCGTACAAAACATTTGACATGCTTTGGTTTCTTGGATTTTGAGCGGATCGACTTCATATCCTTCCAAAGCAGATGAGTGGAGCAATTTTATATGCCGTTGCCGACCTACAAACAGTTAATATAACATCAAAGTCTTGAAACATGACAACTGTTTTATTTTTCATTATCGTTGAAGAAGACAGATTTATTCAATATAAGTTGTTAAAATCAGACAGAGAAGTGCATGGGGACCAGACAATTACAGTCACTTGTTACATATGACAGGGAGTCATATAACTCAGACCATTTATATAGGGAAATAAGTTGGGAGAACTGAAACAAGGTCGGATAAGACAGAGAGTCGATGCAATCAGGAGCTTGCTCAGGCATTCACAAATGTAGTTCATATATTCAATTTAATAAAGTATAAAATGTAGTTGACACATATGAATAAAGTGAAAAATTTAGACCGGATATTTGAATAACGCATAAAATAAAGAATTTACCACTAATAAGAACGATTAGCTGCTCCTCTGGTACCAGCTCTACCTGGAACACCGGCTTCTTTTCACTTTTATCACCAATGCGTATCAAAACTGAAAAATCAATTTATATCTCGAGGTTAAATCTCTCTTCCAAATATAATTATCTTATGTAAATGCAGTTATATTTGTCCATACTTTCATACCATATTGTTCTTATCGCTCAAAACATATAAATTCTGAAGTAAGAAGTAATATATTTCATCTATAGAAGGCATTCTACAAAAACAAAACAAATGGCAGGAATCTGTCACAAAACCAGATTTTCCACCAATATTATATATCATATAAATGTTTATATAATATGTTAAAACAACAACAGGGCACAATTCTGCCAAAAAATTAACAAATCACAAAATCCTGCTAATATACACCAGGGCACTCTAGGGCAAACATTCTGCAAATGGTTTCTTCGAAATCTTTTGAGAAAATGCACACAGAGGCATACAGCAATCTAATAACTATAGTTTTAATTAAAATAAATTGGCATGGTTAAAGATATGGTTTAAACAGATATTATTGAACACTATACCCACCATCTTTTGCTAATTCTGCTATATATACACCCTCTTCAGTACCTAGCAACAGTCTACCAGACTCTGAAAGTAAAACACAAACATTTATATATTAGTTACTGTTAAGCTATAACAAGAGCTGTTGGTAGGACAGAGTGCTTGACTATTCTCCGTGCTTGATAGTTAAACAAGAGCCTGGACAACAGAATTTTCAAAATGGCCACAATTCTGTCAAAATCCATGTTAGAGTTATGGGCCTTAGATAGTGATCTTCTATTATGCTCTCAAATAATTGTGAAGTTTCAACCCATTCCCTTCAGTAGTTTTGGAGATACCAACTTGCAGGCAGAAACTTAACCAAAGTGTGATGCCAACACCGACATCTGGGTGTTACAACAGCATTCCCTATGCTTCGAATAGTTACACTAAAACATATTGAGAAGATGACGATGGACAGATTGAAAAAAAAAAAAATGAAAAATTTGCTAAAAGAATGATATTTCTTGATCTAAATAGCTGCACTTGGCATGTGAGCTGCTGTAGGGAATAGTGAACATATGCTAATATTTCAAGTTTCAAACACCAAGTACAATTCATACAATTTTCATATACAAGCTATTCTAAAACTTACCTAAAGTTGCAGCCGAAAATGTTCCTTTTACAAGAGATAGAGAGTTGTCATATACCTCTTGAGGTTGAAATATCTGCAAAATAAAGTTCAAGTTTGTATTGTGTGAAATTGAAGAAATCATCTCTACAATTTTTTTTTTTTTTTTTTTAGTCATTTTGCTCAAATGTCAAATATTAACTTTCCAGCTTGTAAATAAAAGCACTTAATATTATAACACATTTTTCTGCACTGCTTATATCTGCATCTAAGTAGACCCATTAACCCTCAACAAACTAGCTGGATTTCATCTGCAAATGAAAGAACCAATAATCTCTAGCACTATTATTATCCACATTTATCAGCAAGTGAATAAGAGTTATTTTGGTATTGGTTAGGATTTAGGTCACACTGACATAGCGATGGTCACATGTCATCTTTTCAGCTTTTCTGCTGGAGGAAGAAGACCTCAGGTACCCCACTGATGACAACCTGTCACATGAGCAGAATCATTGATCTTCTCTAAACTAATGGGATATCTTCCTTAGACCAAGGAATCCACAGTCCCCAACAGGATTTAAACACAGAGCAGTGGGAGAGGCAAGAGATTACAGCCACCTTAACGATTGTACCATGAAGTCATTTCACGAGCAGAAAGGAGAATATAACAAATCGGCACAAACTTACAACAGTCTTAGGCAGCTTATTTCTACGTAGAAGTTTTTGCAGTTCATTAAGAGCACCGACCCATCGTTGACGTTCTGTCTCATTTTCTGCCAACATTAACACAGAATGCTTGGTACCAGGGGGATTTAATTCTGACGTAGTCACCTGTCAAAATAACAGCAGTTTTTATATAAAACACAAATTTATGAGTAACTGAAAAAAGATAAAGATAAAAGTGCAGATTTTGCAACTGTTAACAATCAAATTTTTCTATGTTTAAGAAAATGATTGAGTAAAACAACTGAAAATTTATTTGACTTTCTATGTTTTGATCAGTTAAGGTTATTGAAGGGTTCAAATTCAAAACTGGGAAAGTCCTTTACAAAAAGAGTCATGAAAAGGTAAATAAACATTGTTAATCTTCTAAAGATAAATAAAACAACGTACCCTAAATATACATGGAATATCTTTTTTGTTTGCATGTATGACATCATTTTGCAATACTGAGTTTACACAAAACTCATCATCTCTGAAAACAAAACAACAAATTACAGTTAGTGTTTCTTTCTTTGTTTTTCTGTTTGACCTCAGGAGATGGACAAAATCATTATTGATATTGCAAGCCACATTAAAAACAATTGTATTTTTTTCTCACAAAAAATTCCTTGATATTTGTAATGAATATGTTTACAAGTCTGTCATATATTGAACACAAAAAGACTTTGACAAGTATAATATATTATTATCTTCAACAATATAATTGCCCGACTAAATGCATTTCAATGAAACAGAACATGATCTTTTTTCTGCTTTATATAAAGGTTTATATCAACTGCCTACCTTTATAACTATTACAAATTTAAATAATATATACAAATTGCCATACTATGTGAAATTAATCAGCTATGGACAGGTACCTAAGTAGAAACCACAAGTCTCCTGCAATCTAGCTAGATATCCTCCTCACTTAGCAGAAGTGAAGATTACTTGCAGGGGTCAAACCCTCAGTATAGTCTGGTTCCCTGCCTACTGTTCTGCCATAACATAGTAACAAGGGCAGGTAATCCAGACTGCCTGTCAGTAGTGAGGGATAACTGACGAGTCAATGAACATAGCCATGAAACCACATAGATATCTTATTTAAGATATTCTCTTTTTGTGATACAAAATACCTAAAACCGAACTTTTTTTAAACATACATACCTCATATCTAGAACTTGCTGAACTACAGGACTAGGTGTACCCTTTTCAGGGGGTATATCAAATAAAAACAATTTGAAATCACAGACAACAACAAACAGTCTTGCCCAGCCTTTCTTTATACCGCCAAGACGTGGTACCTAAAAATAGGCAGAAAACAAGAATGTCATTACTACTACAGTGGAAAGTTTTTTTACTTTATAAAGAGCTTTGAATTTTCCATTAAAGGAGCTCCATTGAGGTAGATTTTTTTGGGAATATTAGCCCAATTTGAGTGAAAATTATTGCAACGCTTTTCATTTTGGGTCATTTTGCACAATAAAAATGTTCATTCTGGAGAAACGGATAGGGAATGATCTGATAAGTTGCATACTTGTTATTGGTCCAGACATACATCAAATGGCTTACAAATTTCAGAAAAAATATTTTCTAGTCATGGCATGCCAAAAACCTCAGTGGAGTCCAATTAATTCTATCTATGCTTAGATTGTAGTCAATCTTTACAATAGTGTATATTATTATGGAGCTACATATTTTTTTTTTAAGATCAATCACCAATGAAACATAAAATATCTAAATGAATATAGATTTAAGATGACTGTTGTTGACAGAATGGCTGCTACTCATGTGTGACCAGTCATACAGATTCGAGTCTTTATCTAAAATTTTGGTGTCTAATTTTAGATTTTGATTACTTTGACTACATTCTGAGTCACTAATTCAAAGTGTTTTCTAATTTATAAATTTTTTTTTTCGGAGGGGGGTGGGTTGGCAAAGTTATATCTTTATAATCTTTTAACCCTAGAAAATAATGTATCTAATGATATTGTTTAACATTTTATAATACTCACTCTAACATAGCCTTCATACGCTGTTCCAATACCTTTGTTAACGTCTATACCCATGGGGCGCTTTGCTAAAAAATTGCAAAAAATTTGTACTTTTAACTACAATAACATTTATGCAATATTCATAATGGACAAGCAATTCAAATCAATAAATTCTTATTAACGGTATGGTAAACCAACAATAAATGCATTTTGTTTGTTTTCTTTAATTCTTTTACATTAGGTTTCGGGGGAAAACCCTTTAAAAACCTAATAATCTGAATTAGGATTGTAAGTTTCTACAATGGTAAAGACAGAAACAAAAAGATTGACATACTTTGATCAGCAGGAACTGGGCACACAGCTGGAGCTTTATCACTACAGTGTACATGACATGTATATGCACAATCTGAAAAGAGGGAGGAAACATATCTTCTTGAAAAGTTTTCTAAAAATGACCATATTTAGAAAGAAACTGTTTTTCCTGTAGTACTATATTACTTCATACAACCTGAACATGTATTCAGCGGCAACCATTGCGATATATTAACAAAATGAAATATGCATATTATCATAAAAATTACACATTTAGCAAAAGAGAAAGAAATCAATTCATCTAATTTATGGGGTAACACAATTCTCTAAATGTATACCCTTATAAATTCTATTATGCAATATAAAAATAAAACATTGTTAGAAATAGGATTTTACCTGCACATGTTATACCCTGTCTATGTACACCAATCAACAATGACGTGCAATAGTTACACTTGTAAGGTACATTAAAACTTTTATACAAGAACTTGTGGATTTTCTGTGACTGTGATTTCGGAGTTGTTGGCGGTGTTCCAGTAAAAGGTGACCGCCATGGCTCCAACTCGGTTTCTGATGAAACACTTTGTTTGGAAGAGTTTAACGAGCCTGCTAGCACCATAGTTTCTTGCATTTCTTGTACACGTAGATCTGTACGGGAATCCGTATGTGAATCTGTCCGAGACAATGCGTCTTCACTGTCATCATCCGCAACGCTCTCATTGGACGACTATAATTGATTAACAAATAAATTACAAAATCAGTAATTTATCAACAGCAAGAATTTTTAGACTAGCTTATTGTTAGGAGATATCATACTTCAGAGTTAGATGCTTAACATAAAGGTGATAACACAAGTGATGAAAATTGAACAACAAAAAATTTAAATATATACATAACTAAACAACAAAGAAGGCTTTCTAATTTGAATTGTAACAGGTAGTAAAAAAGATGCTATCCGGAACTTGACATATGTGTTTTTTTTCTAAGCTAATAGACCAGTACAAACAAACACCACAACAGATTAGTCAACCTGTTGCGCTTTTTTTCTATGCTGTAACTGGAAAAGTTGTTCTGTACCTGCAGATTACCTGGGAAAACCCAAAATATTCTTAATTTCGGAGAAATTCTATTGATACAAACTTTGAGTAGAAATTATATTCACAGACAGCGTGTCCATGCTGATGTCAACATTGTGTTTTTTTTTGTTGTAATACATTGTGCTACATATATATATAAATATATCTATCCAAGTTTGAAAAGTCTGTATTTCCATTCTTATAAAATTAAAATGTAAATAAGAAGTAACATCATTTATGCTAACACAGCCTCCTTGATAATTCAAATACAAAAAACACAGTTTAGTTTATACATTTTTTCTTTAGTTTGTTTTGGAAGCTATAAGGTTATTAAAACATTCTCAAATCCGTTCCTAGAACCAACCAGTACTTAGCAAGGAGTGTAAAGTTTATTGCTATTGAAAATAATAGCTTGCCCCAGATAGGTTTGAAGCCATGTGCCCGTCAATCCTTAGATTACTAGTTGGATGTTATAACCACTTGGCCACGCCAAAACTTTTACCTTGAAAAACATACTTAATTAGAGGATTTTCATTAATGCTACCAATTAAATGCATTTCAAATATATCTACCATATCATCTTATATAACAAAAGGACACTCTCCCTTTCCCTAACCTCAGAGCCTAATTAGGGTTGTGGGAGATATAAATCAAGTTGCTAATGGATGGATAATTATTATTTAAAAGGAATTATTTGCTACGATAACTTTTACTTTAAAACATAAAACTTACAGGACACAATTAACAATACTGTTTATATGTGTAATTAAAATTACTCTGTTACTGTAAATCAATTGTATATGAGATTTCCTATATACTCAACAATGAGCTAAAACCATGCCAAATGCAAGTTAAAACATACATATACATGTACTTTGACAAATTACTTATCATTCTCTTTACCTCATTACAAAAGCTTAAATCTTAAAGAATACAATCAACAAGAGCTGTCAGAAGGACAGCGCGCTCGACTTTTTTAGTGCTTGCCTATAAAACAAAACTTTGACAGTTAAGGGCACACAAGACTTTAACTAGGAATTTCTAAGTACAAATCAAGAAACATTTTCACAGAGTTATCTTCTCTTGCTTACAGATAGGTCTCATGATGGCACATAAGAACTCCAACTTCCAAAGTAATATCTCAAATGGTTAAGTCAACAAGTGGACAAGAATGAAAATCTTAACTGAGTTTCTAAGTCAAAAAGGGCCATAATTCAAATAAAATCCTTAACAGAATTACCTTCTCCTGCCCATGTTTTGGGACCATGATGGTAAACAAGTATTCCAACTTTCAAATTAATATCTCAAACAGTTCAGTCAAAAAGTGGACTGGTACTAAAAACTTAACCAAGATTCTAAGTCGATAAAAGGCCTTAATTTTTAAAACAAATCCTTGACAGAGTTACCTTCTCTTGCGTACAGATGGGGGTAATGATGTGAAATAGCATTAAAAGTTTCAAAGCAATATCTCAAAGGGTTAAGGCAATAAGTGGATTTTACCCATATTCAATGTATTTTCTAAGTCAAAAAGGGGCATAATTCTGTCAAAAACCTTGACAGAGTTATGTCCTCTTGTCTGTTGATGAAGGTCGTGATGGTAAACAAGTATGGTCAGTTTCAAAGCAATACCTCCAATGGTTTTGAAATAAAGTGAGGTGGTACAAAAAACTTAACCAAGCTCAATACACTTTCTAAGTCAAAAAAGGGCCATAATTCTGTCAAAAACCTTGACAGAGTTATGTACTCTTGTCTGTAGATGGAGGTTATGATGGTGAACAAGTATGGTAAGTTTCAAAGCCATACTTGTAATACTTCTGAAATAAAGTGGGGTGGTACGAAAAACTTAACCAAGGTGTGACGCCAACGCCGACGCTAACGCTAACGCCGACGCCGACGCCGGGGCGAGTAGGATAGCTCCCCTTTTCATAGAAAAGTCGAGCTAAAAACTGGCAAAACGTGTTCTACATGAAAGTCAAGAAAAATTTCAAACTGCTATTATCTTCTATAGCTTGCCTGAGAAAACAAAACACTCCATAAATAAATGACTAGCACAAGAAGCTTTAACATTTTATACATCATTATCAAAAGAAGGACCAGTCCTAATCATTCATTTAAATTCCTGCATTTGTATTGTAATATTTAGGGTATTTTGATATCAAAATATGAAAAATTTGAATGACAGGTAATATACACTGTAGTAAAACTGCACTGAAATGGTTCCATACCATGATAGCTAGCAAGTTGATCTTGAACTTCATTAAATTTAAATTATTTAAATGTAGACCCGGCAATCAGAATTGTTCAACACTGGCCAATATTTTAATACACCTGACAGACCTCATTAAATATTTTTTAATTATTTATATAACGGTCCTGGAGAAGACATCTAATGGCAGTGGTTGTCTCTCAGCTCAAACGCAAACTATTTACCAAGGAAGCATAACTGTTACTATCCCATTCAGGGGAAAAATCTCTTAAAACCCCTAATAAGTATGTTACATGGGAAATTCAAACCAAAAAACATCAGTTTGGTCTACATATTCTACAAGGGATTAATCCACTCACAAATCAGAATTGTTAATTTTTAACATATAAAAGGTCTAACAAAAATACCCAATTGCCAATATATTCATATCGGAACACGAATTGTACATGATGCTGAACTGTAACAGTTTCTGGACAGTAACAATTTCTGGACACATACATATTTAAACAAACCAGTCAACACTATATTATTTTTCTACAAGTATTAAAAAAGTTATCTTGCAACTTTTCTATGAAAAAGGAAAAAACTGACACAAGGCTATCTACTAATTTGAGTTGAGGGATCAGGTTTTCTGAGTATGAGCATTTTCCAAATACCTCTGCTTCTTCTAAACCCTATATCCTGCTAAATTTGTATATTGAACTTGCCCTGCTTGGAATTTGGAACAGTCCATTTTATAGATTAATGGATTTCAAAACAGGAATAGTTTAATAGAAGGAGAAATATAAAAATTGAGCTACCAACAGTATAGAGCCTGGTCAGGCTTCACAGACATGAAAACTGGCCAAGCCCTATACTGGTAGCAAAAACAGTTTTTCCGTTCGAGCAGGTTAAAGATTAATGAACTATTCAAACACAGATTTTTTTCTTCTACGTTTTTGATGATAATCATGCTGTCTGAAACTCCCATTTTAATTGGTTTGCATGGTATCTTTTGTGTGTTATAATAAAGTAAACATAACGAGGTATTTGAAGAATACAGGCTCTGATTTCACTCAAGATTTCCTTCAACCAAATAAAACACAAATTAAACAGATTATTACCGAATATATAAGCTGAAAAGAAAACTTTAAATATCAGGTAACACGCTTAACAAAATACACATAGATTTACCATTTCAGTATCAACACATACCATAACACCAAGCTTAACCTACATCCATGATGATTAATCTTTTATCATTTAAAAGCAGTAAATTTTACAACAGCAAGGTTAAATCATTTTTTTTTTTTTTTTACAAAATTTCCAATCAAAACAAAAGACGGATATGCACCCCCACCTCACTGACCCAAACCATATGTTTATCTTGTAAAACATAAATTAGATTTTACTTTTTTCCAAAATTTCCTGGTAAAGTATCTTTTAGTCATTCTATGTTCTTTATATGGCATTATGGTGCATATATATTGTACATGCTTTTCTTTCCCTACTTCTTGTTCAAAGTGTAAATCTATTTTGCCCAATCACCTGGTAATATAAACATTTAACCACCTCCATCATTTTCCAGCAACAATTAACATTGATAAATTTTGTATACTATTACACCCATAAATGCATGAATCAGACACATTGTTTAAGTTTTTTCTCCATAATTATCCCTTGAAATCATGTTAATTTCATTTATTGGTACTTGGTGCAGCAACCACATATTTTTATCAGGAAAAATAAAATAAACTTACATCATTAAGAATTGAAAACTGGCCTTTGAAATAATCTATTAATGAATTAGAGTCTTGTTGTTCTTTCTCCCCTGAAACAAGAAAATAAAACAACAGTGATAACAACCTTTCATATATTACAGTTATGTGTTCATATTCTGATTTGATTCATATTGTTATAAATAAAGGTTTATTTAATACTCTACTCTTAGCTCCAGCGGCTATTGAATGAAATTATAAGAATGTGAAAGGGTGATTTAAGTTTGTCTCCGATTGAGTAACTTTAATAAAGGCTTGAGAAAGTTGGATTTTACTTTGACCAACACAGTATAGGTCATATTGCGACTTTCCAGCTTTACTTGTTGACCAAGACCTCAGATGCCCTTCTGTGCATTATTTCAGGTGCAAGCAGGCACCTGAGTAGAACCACCGACGTTCCTTAAGCTAGATGGATAGCTTCTTCACATGAATATCACATAATTTGACAATAAAATGCTGCATGACAAAAAAAATGTCAAAAAGTTTTGTAGTATCTACTTCATGTCACACAAGTAAGGATGAATAAACTTAAAGGCCACTATGCAAGAAACGACACAATATGGCAGGTTCGAAAAAAGCAGATTAGAAACTGTTAAGTTACTAGCTAACCCTGAACTTTCTTTTAAGATTGTATGGACAGCCACATCTAAATTAAAGTAACAACCAGTTATTTCTGTCAGTTGCCCAATAAATCCCACCAATCACAGTTCAGCTAAAGCACAAATTTGGGTAGATCCTTACAGCAAATTATTACTACAAATGTAAGTTGAAATGTTATTAAGTTTCCAAAACTGATTCATTTAAAGTTTCTGGCTTTAACATTCTGATATTACAACTGTTACTTACAACTTAATGTTTTATGCGAGTCCTCCATTTTCTTGTTTCTCTTGCGAAGATCTTCAACTTCTCGTGCCATCTCTTTGTTCTCTTCTGAAGCTTCGATAAGTTTGCTATAAATCAGACAAGTTGGTGGAATTATTATACGACTGAAGGCAATGTAAAAATACATTAAGTCTTGAAATGAAAACAAAAAATATCTGGTTGTGCAAACATTTGCTACTTTAAGGCCTTTCCAGTTTCTGAATTTCAAGAATATACCATTTATTTAAAATATCACAGAACAAGTCTTGAATTGGAAGAAAATGTATGCATAAATGACACTTCATATACAGTTATCTAGTAACCTGACATGCTGAACCTTTTGAGGTCATTACTTTCAAAGTGTCCTTAAATTAATATAGGGAATTGTATTGATGTAAATCTTCATGGCTGAACTAATCACTTGTAAGCTGTTCTTTATTAATTCAAGATAAATGTATTTCTATCTTAAAATACAAAATGCTAAAAAAAAGAATTTGGGTCAATATTATCCTCTTTTTTTTTCTTGTGCTCGGAATAAAAAAACATTTTTTTTACTTTAAACACAGAGACAGTACCTTTCTGCTCCTGCCAATTGTTCTTTGACTTTGTTCAGTTCCTCGGTGATTTTCGCCTTGGCTTGAATCTCACTATTCAGACTGGACTGTAGATTAAGAAGCTCCATCTTGTCCAGTCTCTGTGAGCGGCGATTTCTCCAGCGTTGTCGACCAGAGTCCTCCGATACTCCCATTACCTTCAGGTTCTCCAGTTCCTCAGTCATCTTTCCAGCGAGGGCCTGTAAGTAACCTCTTGCATCCTTTTCGTCACTCACCCTGTAAAAAACAATCTCTATAGTTCATTTATCTCATTCCAAACTTTCTAAAAACTACAGCTAAGGTAAATTTAGATTGTAAGATATCAAGAAACTGTGTTGAGTGTCTGTTAAAAGTATATGAATGAGTATTTAGATAATCAGTAATTACATAATTCAGTTAATAAACAAATTATCTTATTCTAGAAATTACATATATTATACATCTTAAGGTCATTTATATTTTGTCCCTATATGCATGTTCTGTTGTTGTTCATGTTATAGTTTTACTACTTCAGAAGCCCACATTGGAAATAAGATATATATGGTTGTTTTTGTATATTCTTAATGTGTTACCTTCCCTAAATAAAGATTATTATTATTGTTATATCATTATTAGCATATGAGATTTTAAGTCCAATAGACTAGACAAACAGTTCATTTCTTTATTTGGTTTTCAAATCAATGACACATCAACACTATGATTTAACATCAAGTTACTGACCATTTAATGATCTCTGAGATCTGAGCCTCCCATTGAGCTACAGATTCTCGTTTATCATAAATCTCTCTCATCTCCATCTCTAGTTGGTTCTTCTCCTTCTTTATCACCTCCAGTGTTGCCCGATCCTAAAATAACATGTAACGTAACAAATCAGTAATCAAACAAGAACTGTGTCTTTCAGCATCAATCTAAGCATCTGCAGGGTATCAAGATATTCAAAGTGCTTCCCTACATCAAAAAATAATATGAAATTAATATTTAATCAAATATTGAAATGGCAATCTCATGACATTCATCACTATTTTGTTTGAGCCGGTCAAAAATACCAAGACTGCCTACAATTTTTTAGGTTCACTGTTTATAGAAGACCCTATAATGGTTACCCTCAGTGGATTAAATTATGTGCTTGAAGACATTCAAGTGGAGCACACATGAGTAGAGTCATTGACACCATTAGTATGCTAGCAGGATTTAGTCTATTTTAACAGTGACTTGTTAGTTATATCTCAGTTCAATGAATACAAACAGTGATTTCTTCTATAGATACTTACATGGCACTCTCTTGCATATAGAAAATATATAAGTAACAAATAAACATAGTCATTTTGGTTTTACGGCGAACAAACACAGTTTAGGTCATATGGCAGATGATTTGGGGCTAACCTCGGGTGTTACAAACTTAAGCAACGCCAGAGATCAAAACCACCTCAACTGCTAGAGCTAGGAGATGTACAGGCTCTAGTAATTTGAACCCATTTGAAACACAAACTACTTCTTTATCAATATCACAGTATATAAACAAAATCACTATACCCCGTCTTGTGAGCCTATATAATTTGATGTCTACCCTGACTTACGAGTAAAAGCACATGTTACTTCCAATCTTTGTACATTACTTGAGAGCCTATATATTTTAACTTGTACCTTACTTGCCATAACAGGAAGTAGACTTGTTTATATACTGTGAATATAATGGTGCAAAAAGGCCAATCAAAAGACTCACCAAAAGTAAATCATCTTTAAGTCTGTCATTTTCTTCTAGCACAACTTCACACCGTCTCTCCTCTTGTTCTAACTTTATGCGTAACTGAGAAATATTAGTCCGTAATTCCTCTATAGAATCTTCCTCACTCTGTCGTGCTTTTAACAAGTTTATTTCATTTTGTAAATCTTTTTTACTCATTTCTAGCTCTTGTAATTGATATTTCAAGTCACTGATTTCAGTCTGGTGTTTAGAAGTCATTCTTAACATACTATCCTCCCTCTCCAAGTCTTTTCTGTCTATTTCCGATTTTAACCTGAAGATAGTATACAAAATTAATAAAATTTCAAAATCTGATCTTATCCTTATCACACAAATCTTTACATTTATTCTAACACACTTCATACTATTCCCCTATCAAAGAGATAAAGGTAATCAAGAGTATTATTACATGATATATGCACAGCATGAAAATCCAATGCTGACACATTGCATTATAGTATGCACAGTTTATCTTCAAACCTAATGACATCAGGAAAATAACTTCCACGCTCAATGTAATTCAACATATTTTTATCAATTTATCAATTCTCTTTTTTATTAGCATGTTAGAATGGAAATAGATATTATTTTTTTTTTGCATTATAGTATGATAATGCATGATTTAGCGTTCAAATCCTTTATAAAAAATCACAAGGCTGATAATGCACTCAAAATTGATTACTATTTCCTAAACATTGCACAACCCTTCAAGCATTCTTAACTGCTATTAATATTGCGATCAAATCATATTCAGATGTTTCAAGAACAAAATCTAACTTTGCTTTATATTCAATGTTCTCAAATTGTCTATTACATATAGAGCTGTCATCGATATAAACAATATCAATGTATCGTCAATACATTTCTGTTGATCAATAGTCAATATACATGTTGAAAAATTTGATTATTTTGACTACATAAATTAACATCTAGAAATTATGAAAATTCACTCGAACATATACAGAAGCAGGTGTCCATGTCTAAAACAACCCTAATATTACATAATAAACATATTTCATTCATAGCAGTGAGGACAAAAATTCACATCATAATTGTATGATCAGACCATAAAAATCAGAACTGAAATCATTTAAAAAGCTATGGAAAAAAAATCACAGATCAGTAATTATCAATCAATCAGTGTACCATCAATATTTTTCATCCAATATCCATATACTATCAATATGCTTTACACAGAATCATTGAAGCTCAAAGCTCTGATTTCATATTATCACCTAATGCAATAAATGATAAACTCCTGTTAAATTTATAGCTTACCCCATTACTGCACTAAGGTGACAATATAACATGTTTTGTTTAATAAATTACCTTGATATTTCTTGGGACAATTCTAGACTTGCAGTGTTTGTATCTCTGCCTGCGTGTTTTTTCTTTAATGTTTCTATTTCTTGTTCTATTTCCTGGCTATACTCCTCAGCTCTCTCTCGTAATTTTTTCTCTCTATTGCAATCAGTTCTATATTCCTCTACTTGTGACTGTAGCTGTATAATAAACAATATACTTATTTACATTTGAGAGTTACAAAGTAATTTCATGGATGTCTGTATTGTACCATTCTTTCATGATCCTTAAGAGAATTTGACCCTTCCCAGCTTCATAATATTATGTTAGCTAAACAAATTCAACCCATTAAAACTGTTTCATCATTTGTAAAAACAACCTCTATTATTAAGCACGACATGTAATAAACAGACTTTAAAGAGAAGTGATTAAATTTAGATCATTATTTGTGGGCATACCTCAGTAATAGTTTTCTCTGTTCTTCTACGTTCATTCTTCAGACTGTCAGCCTTTCTCTTGTATTCCTCTGTTTCTTCTGACTTATTTCGCAGATCTCTTGTTAATTCTTTCACTTTCGATTGTGACTTCAATAATCTGTATATGACATAGATAAGTATTAAATAATAGATGTTTGTTAGCAATATGGCCAAATTTGATATTGCGAAAGACAGATTTGCACAACAATTTGGCTAAGTTGGACATTGTATAAGACCGATTTGCACAACAATTTGGCTAAGTTGGACATTGTATAAGACCGATTTGCACAACAATTTGGCTAAGTTGGACATTGTATAAGACCGATTTGCACAACAATTTGGCTAAGTTGGACATTGTAATAAGACTGATTTGCACAACAATTTGGCTAAGTTGGACATTGTATAAGACTGATTTGCACAACAATTTGGCTAAGTTGGACATTGTATAAGACCGATTTGCACAACAATTTGGCTAAGTTGGACATTGTATAAGACCGATTTGCACAACAATTTGGCTAAGTTGGACATTGTATAAGACCGATTTGCACAACAATTTGGCTAAGTTGGACATTGTATAAGACCGATTTGCACAACAATTTGGCTAAGTTGGACATTGTAATAAGACAGATTTGCACAACAATTTGGCTAAGTTGGACATTGTATAAGACCGATTTGCACAACAATTTGGCTAAGTTGGACATTGTATAAGACAGATTTGCACAACAATTTGGCTAAGTTTGATACTGTAACAGACAAATTTGCACAGTAATTTGGCATAGTTTGATATTGTGTTTTTTGTTTTTTTGTTTGTTTTTTTTTGCGGGGGAGGGGGGGGGGCAATTTTTTTATTTAATAATGGCACATGGTTAATAGATAACAAACAAAAAAAAACACTTAGCAAAAGCCAAATATTCAAACCATGAGAAAATATGAATTTCCTATAACTGGGATTTGACCCATCTACTCTTGATTTGTTTGTCACACTTTTTGAAAAACAAAAACATGTCTTGCACTTTAGTTTTAACAGTAAAAATATTTACCTGACTAGTCTACAAAAAAATTTTAATCAAATTTTAGAAGGAAATTAAGATAAATAATTACAAGTCATTGGAGTCGGTGTATTGTTCTATGGCTATTTTCTGTTTGGCTACAGCATCTTTCAGTTCCCTAGCTTGCAGTTTATATTTATCTCTCAGATCTTGAATTTCCCTCTCCAGTCCAGTCTTCTCTTCTTCAACAATCTTCATCTTCCGTTCAATATCTTGTTTTGTCTCCCTAGCCTTTCTAAGATCTTGCTCTGCTATACTGATCTCGGATTGTGAATCTAAAATATATAAAGCCCTTTTTTAAAAACATTGAATTAAAGACAGTTTGAAATGAACATTTCTTATGTAAATCTGATACATGCAAAGGTATTTTATTAATTTAATTATAAAGGCATTTTATTAATTTGATTAAAAAGGCATTTTATTGATTTGAATTCAAGACAATCTGCATTTTAGAATATACATACATTTTATAATTACTAGCATTTATTTTTCACAATTTTTATTGGTGACTAAACTTTACAAATCTTACTTAAATGGTAATGTAATAATAATCAAATAATTTAAAATTTATGTTGGCAACATAATGTTGCTTTCATGTGAAAACTTTGCTTTTACAAATCACAAACATGACATTTTAACTAGAATTATTCATTTCCATCATATAGCTGATAATGGCTCAGATAATCAAATCAGGGTCAAAATGAATAAAAAATGTTCTATTTCACATTATTTGATTTTTCTACAAATTTCACACAAAAAAACGGAAACTATTTAAAAAACTAGAAATGTGTCCATAGGACACGGATGCCCCCACACGCCATTGTTCTGTCAATCTTATGACTCTAGGTCAAATATTTTTTGGACTACATGTGCCACAAGTTGAAAACTTAAAATCAACAAAGGGCCATAATTCTGTTAAATTTGGTCCCAGCAAAAATTCCTTCCTTTACTACCATCTACACATTAAGGTTGTTAATCCCTGGAAGTTTAAGCAAAATCTGCCATCCGGTTTAAGAGGAGTTGCGTTCACAAAATTTCTACATAGTATATAATGAAAAAATAAAAAAAGGGCCATAATTCTGTTGAATTTGGTTGCAGCAAAAATTCCTATCTTAACTACCATCTACACATTAAGGTTGTTCATCCCTGTGAGTTTAAGCAAAACCTGCTATCCGGTTTAAGAGGAGTTGCATTCACAAAATTTCTACATAGTATATAGTGAAAAAATCAACAAAGGGCCATAATTCTGTAAAATTTGGTCACAGCGAAAATTCCTTCCTTTACTACCATCTACACCTGAAGGTTGTTCATCCCTGTAAGTTTAAGCAAAATCTGCCATCCGGTTTAAGAGGAGTTGTGTTCACAAAATTTCTACATAGTATATAGTGAAAAAATCAACAAAGGGCCATAATTCTGTTAAATTTGGTCGCAGCAAAAATTCCTTCCTTTACTACCATCTACACATTAAGGTTGTTCATCCCTGTAAGTTTAAGCAAAATCTGCCATCCAGTTTAAGAGGAGTTGCGTTCACAAAATTTCTACATAGTATCTAGTGAAAAAATCAACAAAGGGCCATAATTCTGTTAAATTTGGTTGCAGCAAAAATTCCTTCCTTTACTACCATCTACACATTAAGGTTGTTCATCCCTGTAAGTTTAAGCAAAATCTGCCAACCGGTTTAAGAGGAGTTGCGTTCACAAGATTTCGGGACGTACGGACGGACTGACTGACGGACGGACTGACGGACGGACGGACGGACAAGTGCAACGCTATATGCTCCCACATTGTGGGGGCATAAAAAAAAACAACTTATGTAATGCGTAAGTCATAAATGCCCTTTGGAGCAGTTATAAGTTTACAAGCTCAACTGCCCGTTGAAACATTCAGAGTTAAAGGCCAGCTCGAGTGTATGATAACAATACACAAAACCATACCTTTTTTACTAACAAGAGCTTTAACAAGAGTTTAACTAAAGGTTACCTGCAACAACTTTATGGAGAATAGCTACTTCCTCCTTCAGTTGCCTGGACTCGGCCTCCGCCGCCCCAACAGCAGCCGAAGCCCCTGATGCATTATCACTGTTCAGCTTCTGTATTGTAGCTGTTGCCTCTAAAATTACAAAAAAATTGTTTAAGGTAAATTGTAACATAACTATTGTCAAAAGAGTGTATTTCATTTATGCAATAGAAACATTGCCATTACAAGGGGACCATGAAAATGTAATGTGCAATGCTGGGCAATATCTTAAAATAAACAATGACTGACTAGTAATAGATAAATACAAAAGCAACCTTATACTTTGGCTAACCTTTTCATTTTAGTTAAAGAAAAATGTTATTAAAACACAAGACATTTAACCAAATAATCTGTTCATACAATGTAGCTTCATCACTATCATACTGACAAGATTTTGGAGACAAATAGGACTTTCCCAAACACATATACAAGAAAAGACCTTTAACCTTCTTTCAGTGAACTGAAATTATATGAGAAATGTATTTGAAGCATGATATCAAAATATTATTTCCTCAAGATAAATTTACTATCATTGAAATTAAAATTCTTAAGAAAAGATTTTGATATTTTCCGGTTAAAAAAAGATTCATATTTACCTTGGTGTTTTCTTTGCAGCTCTTTGTTTTCCTTTTCAAGATTTGAAATTCTTCTTTCAAATGCTTCCGCCACAAGAGACTCTAGATGACTTGGGTCCACACTAACACTGTCTCTTAAACTAGCTGTGTCCGATAATTGACTGGAAACAATAAAAAAATCACATCAATGTACTTACTTTCTAAATACAATTTACTTACTTTCTCATCCAAATAAACTACAAATAAACTAAATTTCTAATACCGTTTAACTAAATTTCTCATATCAATTTACTAACTTTCTAATATCACTTTATTAAAGGAACTCCACTGGGGTCAAAAGGTCTAAAAACATAAAATTTGAAAATCTTAAAAATATCAAGTGGAACACTTAAAATGGTAAACTCTGCAAAGGATAACAAAGAGATACACTAAGAATTGAATTGAAAACCTATTTGCTGTGCTATTCTAAGCTGGATTTGAATGAAAAGCATTGCAACACTTTTCATTTTCTAGTCATTTTGCGCAAGTTATACTAACTTTTTCATAATAACAATAAACTAAACTGCCCATATCAATTTATTAACTTTCTCATATCAATAAACTAAATTTCTAATAACAATTTACTAACTTTCTCATACCAATAAACAAAATTTCTCATACCATTAAACTAAATTTCTCATACCAATTTATTAACTTTCTCATATCAATGAAGTTTGAATGAACTAACTTTCTCATACCATTAAACTTAATTTCTCATATCTATTTATTAACTTCCACATATCAATTTACTAAGTTTCTATACATTTCTTGTAACCAGTGACAACAAAAGTCACCAGAATAGTGCTAGACAGGTCTGCACATTCATGCAATATTTCATATGTGAAAAAAAGTCTTAGCAGTAGGTTATCTTACCAGTTCTTCGTGAATGTAAACCCTACAAAAGGTAAATGATGCCCTTTAAATGTTCCATGAGAAGAAGGCGGAACTGTGTCCTGTAAAATGGAAAAGGAGAAATTCAAAATTATCAGAATGTATCTTTCTTTTGTTCAATAAAAAAACATGGATTATTTATTGTGTTGTTTTTTTTTTTACAAATTATACTATTGCATTATACTGTTTGTATAACTCAATTTCTTAATACTGTCAATTTATACTTCCTGTTTGTCATGGTACACAACTTAATAATGATTGCATACAGTATCATGTTTATGACGAATTATGCATAAAGAAAACTGAATAAACGAAAGGAAGTATTTTGAAACAAAAAACTTTCCCTATTACAAGTGAATTTAAACAAATTTTTAACAGCAGCGAGAGTCTCTTTATTGATAAAATCTGCCATTTAAAATTTCTGACAGATATGATACCCATCCAAATTCTGTGTACTGTAAAATCATTATTATTCGTGGGGCACAAATTTTCGTGGGTAGGTCAATCCACGAATTTAAAATCAGACGAAATTTTATCCCAACAAATACTTCTTGCCATTTCTATTCTATATATTACAAACATGCATCAGCACTTTTTCCGCTGATTTTTGTGTAATGAATTTATTGACAAACTCTGTGTGATACTTAAAGATATGTACATGCTGTAAGTAAATGCATGGCGATTAAGTGTAAGCTTACTTTGCATTAGGTTATTTTATTTTTTTACAAAAAATTGAAAATCCATGAATTTAAGAACCCATGAAAATGCCCATTTTGATAAAACCACGAAATTTTATGCCCACGAATATAAGTAAATTCGCAGTATTTATAGTGGTCAAACAAAATGTCAAGATGAATGTGAAATGCAGTGTTACTCACCGTATGTTTAAAATCTGAATCATCAACATCAAAGTTTGAGGTGTCTGTTGGACTACTGACCTCTGGTATAAATGGGGCAGTCACTGAAATAATGATGAAACAAACATGATGTCACTTTACAATAGAATCTTTTTAATAAGATGAATTAAGTTTGTCATATACAGTTTATCTTTTCTTTTCTTGTTGTTGGGTTTTATGCCACACCAACTCAGTATAGGTCATACGGGAACTTTACAGCTTTACCTCAGGTGTCTTCTGTATATAATTTCGGCACAAATGGGCAACATGCCACTTGTGTGGCTCTAATCTACAGTGATCATATGCAAGTGGCAACGACATTAACATATTGGCCACAGATGCCCCATTACAGTATATCACATCTAAAACGTAATATATAAAGTATAATCATGACCATGTCCATTTCCTATACACAATAATAAGCCTTAAATATGTCAACATATTAAGTTACAACAACAAAACAAGAGGGCCATGATGGCCCTGAGGTCGCTCACCTGTATAGAGGCCCCCGGAGCGGGGCCAGTTTAAACCCCAGGGCTTTTATTTGAACAAACTTGGAAGACACCCATTAGAAGATGTTTCATGATGTTTAGTTTTTACTACACACATATAATGAAAAACAATGACCTGCCCTCCCCCCCCCCCCTCCGGCAGGGCCAATTTTAACCCAAGGGCTTTTATTTGAACAAACTTGGTAGACACTCATTAGAAGATGTTTCATGCGAAATATCTTAGCTCTAGCTCTTTGGGTTCTTTAAAAGAAGATTTTTTAAGTTTTTACTATATGCATATAGGGAAAATCAATGACCCCCTGGGGCGGGGCCAATTTTGACCCCAGGGCTTTTATTTGAACAAACTTGGTAGACACTCACTAGAAGATGCTTCATGCCAAATATCTAAGCTCTACCTCTTTGGGTTTTTTAAAAGAAGATATTTAAAGTTTTTTCTTTCGGTTGCCATGGCAACAAGAGTTCTGCATGGAATTAAATTCTTTGAACAATTTTTAAAGGTGACCACCAAAGGAACATTCCTGTGAACTTTGGATGAAATTGGCTTAGTGGTTTATGAGGAGATGTCATTTAAAGTAAAAGTTTACGGACGGACGCCGGACGAAAAGCGATCACAAAAGCTCACCCTGTCACTTTGTGACAGGTGAGCTAAAAATCAACAATTCAAATTAATCAACAATTCAAATTTGTATCACTAAGAGTGAGTTGTGATGTAATGTGCCATGGTATGGCGTTCAAATGTACATACAGTAATATAAACATGAAAACCATACACTTATTAGTTATACTAATGAATGACAGAAATATTACCCAAGGCACTGGCCTTTATTTCTATAGACAACAAGAGCCATGTCAACATGGCCATCCCCCGCCGAATGTGTTTGCTCATTGGAAGAATGTATATGTAGTAGAGCAGAATAATTCCATTTTAAGAGGTCTTTTGGTAATGAAAACTGATGGCTATAGTGATTACAGATTTGAAACCTATGTGAATACTGATGGCTGAAAATAACAAAGGGCAATAACTGAAAAATAATGCAGGGTAGGTTATCATCCTTGTGTGCTGCATCCCTCCTCAGTAAAATCTATCCACCTATGAAGTTTCAAGTTGATACTTCAAATACTTTTTGAGAAAAAAATTGAATTGAAAAATTAAGTATGAAAAATAACAAAGGGCAATAACTCAAAAATTATTAAAGGTACAGTTATCATTCTTGTGCAGTGCACACCTCCTGAGTGACATCTATGCACCTGTGAAGTTTCATTTTGATATCTCAAAGGCTTTTTGAGTTATGCTCTGGACAAAAATTAATTTTGAAAAATAACAAAGGGCAATAACTCAAAAATAATGCAGGGCAGAGTTATCATTCTTTAGCACTGCATTCCTCCTCAATGAGATCCATCCACCTATGAAGTTTCAAGATGATACCTCAAATACTTTTTCAGATAAGCTTTGGACAAAATTGCATGAAAAAAACAACAAAGGGCAATAACTCAAAAATTGTATAGGGAAGAGTTATCATTCTTGCGCACAACATTTCTCCTCAATAAGATCTATCCTTCTATGACATTTCATGTTGATATCTCAAACACTTTTTGAGTTATGCTCCACTCAGGTGAAAAATTAGGTATGAAAAATAACAAAGGGCAATAACTCAAAAATTATGAAAGGAAGAGTTATCATTCTTGTGCACTGCACACCTCCTGAGTGAGATCTATGCACCTATGAAGTTTCATGTTAATATCTCATAGGCTTTTGGAGTTATGCTCTGGACAAAAATCAATTTTGAAAAATAACAAAGGGCAATAACTCAAAAATCATGCAAGGTAGAGTTATCATTCTTGTGCACTGCACTCCTCCTCAATGAGGTCTATCCACCTATGAAGTTTCAAGTTGATAACTCAAATACTTTTAGAGATATGCTCCGGACAAAAATTTCGGACGGAAGGACGGACGGACAGAAGGTCGGACGGACGGACGGACGGAGACTATTACTATATCCTCCGCCGAAAATTTTCGGCGGGGGATAACAAGTTCATATGAAAGTCGTTTGTGCATGCTTATATATAAAATCAGTATCAGATTGCACAACTTACTTTCTCGAATATTTTGCCAATCAATTCCTTTAAACCAGGCGTGTTCCTTGAAGTCCCTAACTCCGCCCCTTCCAAATCGCGCATCAGGAGAGCATATCAGGCGTTTCATCAGATCTTTGGCAAGATTGGAACAGTCTTCTGACTCGTCTATATCTGTTGGAAACTCAAACCTTGTCTGAAGAAAGATAGACTATCGTGATACACTTCTGATTAAATTAATGTGACTTGACCCAAACTGATCATAAATTATCTACATAAGTATTTGTTAACATCCATAAACTAACATTATAACCTAGATGAAAATATTTTTTTTTAATTTTCAGTCTCTCGCTGAAAACAGCTTGTAATTTCTGTCAATGAAAAAGTCTTAATAAGTAATTGTTTAAATATAAATGTGACCTCATCAACAGACTAACCCTAGCACCCTAGTGGGATAATTCATTAAGATTTTGATAATTCAACAGCAATTTTCTCATCGAGTAGAAAGCTTACTTGATGGTTCATGATCTTTCCGTATGTTTCCACGAGAGATTCTGCATAGAAAGGTGTACATCCGTACAACATCTCGTACATGCATACACCTAGAGACCACCAATCACATTCTGGGCCGTATCTTCCATGACCATCCTCCATTGCCTGTTACAGAATATAATAGATCAGTAAAGTAAATTATATATTCATGGGCCCAAACTTATAATTTCAATATAGAATTAGGAGAAGAATATACTCTATCTTACATCCTAATCCTGTTTTTTTTAAAGAATATTTGAAATAACCTGTGTATATTGTAAATTGTATGTTTAAACTAATATAGAATTATGTTGATGAATAATTTACTTTGACAGTTCAAAACATTTCCCTTGTAATAAATCCAATTTTGAACTAAACATCTCAATCAAGTCAGTTAACTTTTTAACTGGCATGGAACTGGATTGCAATAAGTTTAAGAAACCAGAGTGTTAACTGTCACAACTGGTAATGAATTAAAACAGAAGCCAGATATCTAACTTGTAAATCTTAATAGATTACATTCAAGCAGAAAATTCGAACTTACCCTTAGAATTTCCGGTGAAATATAATCAGGTGTCCCTACAGCGACTGAAGACTGTACAGTTCCATCATTTAACAATTTCAAACATGAACCGAAGTCGGCTAGCACAATATGACCACTTAAGTCTAATAGCACATTATCTGGTTTAATATCTCTATGTACATATTGCAGTTCATGTAAAGAATTTATAGCTAAAACCATTTCGGCTATGTAAAATTTACACATTTCTTCTGGTATGCGATCTTCAAATTTGCTCAATAAAGTCAAAAGGTCGCCACCAACATAATAGTCCATGACCAGAAACTGAAAATATGGAAATATTGAAAGAATTAGCATGCAGTGAATTTACAAATAAAGCAATTTTAATCTGCAATCTTGAAAGATATCGTCCTCTGTAAAACATAACTGTCACATTAAACAGTGCTTAGAGAATGGTGGTAGATTCCTTTGGTGACAAATGCTTATAACTTAATAAATTATAATGACAAATAATAATATTTTCCTTGAAAAATACAATCCATTCTGATGAAAATAAGTAAAAAGAACATAACTTGTTCGTTTAAAAAATAACTGTCTTCCAAGAAGGGATTGAAACTGAGGTAAGTGAAGATTTCAGATTAGCCAGCAAGCAGAAGGAAACACTTATAACAGAATTTAAATCAATATTAATCAAGGTTTGGCAAAAGTTGTCAGCTGTAAATTCTGCAGTATACAACAATTTAACTGGCCATTGACCCTGGAACACTGTATTGTTTGGCCCGGGACAGCATTTTGCTAACAATGTATTGTTTAGAAGTGTAACAATTTTTTTTTATTCAAACACTTCCCAGTCATCATTTCATGGATAAACACATTTCAATGACCTGACATTCTTTGTTTATCATAGTCTCAACTATAAAGATATTTGACCTATTAATCATATTAAAACCACTTAACATCATTGACATCTGCAAACAGCTTTTTTAATCATCAGTGACACAATCTTACATCATAGCTTTACTATATTCTTAGGTCAAGAGCTTTTCAATTGCATTTGACTTGCACTCTTTTCTTATGTAACTTAAAGGGACTCCACTGAAGTTTTTTTGACATGACGGAACTGGGAAAATTTTTCTGATATTCGTATACCATTTTATGACGGTCTAGAAGAATGACTTGTGTGCAATTTTTCAGATCATTCTGTCGCCCCGTTATTACAGAATGTTTGTTTTTATTGTGCAAAATGACCAAAAATGAAAAGCTTTTCACTAAAATCTGTCTAAAAATTGCACAAACGATTCAATATTTAATTCTGAGCATACTTTTTATTATTCTTTGCAGAATTTTCCATTTTAGATACTTCACATATGCAATGTAAAATTTCAAATTTTATGTTTTAAGGCTTCTTGACCACAGTGGAGTTCCTTTAAGAATTAAGGGTCAGCATATGATCTATATGAATGAAATGTTTTACCAGGAAGTTGTCATCTTGAAATGCAAAGTGAAGGTTTGTAATCCACCTTCTATCCCCATATACTAGCACATCTCTTTCTTCCTTAAAGCAAGCAGTCTGAAATACACAACAAATACGAATTAGTATCATATAAAACAAAAAACTCATTGGATAACACATACACTTCTCAAAATTCTAGAAAAAATAAAAGGAAGTAAATACTGATAAAGCAAAACCCTTTAAATCTGAAGAGTGGGGTACTTCTGCCCATAAGCAGGATATTTTCACCAAAAATATAGTTATCACTATAACAAAGTGGAGGAATAGGAAAATTCAACATTTTTAATGCATTATCTCTTTACTAAACAAGATATGTTTGTAAAACATGTATGCCCCCTATCAGCAGCCAATTAGTCATGTGATAAGGTTATTATGCATGACTTCTGACCCAGTAATCAAACAATTAATAAGGGTTATCAAGTATCTACTGGTCATGACCTTAACCTTTGACCCCTTGACCCAAAACTCAATAGGGGTCATCTGCTGGTCACGACCAATCATCATACAAAGTTTGATGTTCTTAGGCCTAAGCGTTTTTAGTTAATTGATCGGAAACCGTTTTTACCTTCAAGTTCAATGTGACCTTGACCTTTGACCCCTTGACCCCAAAATCAATAGGTCATCTGCTGGTCATGACCAATCACCATACCAAGTTTGAAGTTCCTAGGCCTAAGGGTTCTTTAGTTATTGATCAGAAACTGTTTTAACATACAAGGTCAATGTGAACTTGACCTTTGACCCCAAAATCAATAGGGGTCATCTGCTGGTCATGACCAATCACCATGCCAAGTTTGAAGTTCCTAGGCCGAAGCGTTCTTAAGTTATTGATTTGAAAGCATTTTTACCTACAAGGTCAATGTGACCTTGCCCTTTGACCCCTTAACCCCAATATCAATAGGGGTCATCTGCTGGTCATGACCAATCACCATACCAAGTTTGAAGTTCCTAGGCCTAAGGGTTCTTTAGTTATTGATCGGAAACCGTTTTTACCTAAGAGGTCAATGTGACCTTGACCTTTGACCCCTTGACCCCAAAATCAATAGGGGTCATCTACTGATCATGACCAATCACCATATCAAGTTTGAAGTCCCTAGGCCTAAGGGTTCTTTCATTATTGATCGGAAACCGTTTTTACCTACAAGGTCAATGTGACCTTGACCTTTGACCCCTTAACCCCAAAATCAATAGGGGTCATCTGCTGGTCATGACCAATCATCATACCAAGTTTGAAGTTCCTAGGCCTAAGGGTTCTTTCGTTATTGATCGGAAATCGTTTTTACCTACAAGGTCAATGTGACCTTGACCTTTGACCCCTTAACCCCAAAATCAATAGGGGTCATCTGCTGGTCATGACCAATCACCATACCAAGTTTGAAGTTCCTAGGCCTAAGGGTTCTTTTGTTATTGATCAGAAACCGTTTTTACACAAGAGGGCAATGTGACCTTGACCTTTGACCCCTTGACCCCAAAATCAATAGGGGTCATTTACTGATCATGACCAATCACCATACCAAGTTTGAAGCTCCTAGGCCTTAAAGTTCTTTAGTTATTGATCGGAAACCGTTATTGCTTACAAGGTCAATGTGACCTTGACCTTTGACCCCTTGACCCCAAAATCAAAAGGGGTCATTTACTGATCATGACCAATCACCATACCAAGTTTGAAGTTCCTAGGCCTTAAGGTTCTTTAGTTATTGATCGGAAACCGTTTTTGCTTACAAGGTCAATGTGACCTTGACCTTTGACCCCTTGACCCCAAAATCAATAGGGGTCATCTACTGGTCATGACCAATCACCATACCAAGTTTGAAGTTCCTAGGCCTTAAGATTCTTTAGTTATTGATCGGAAACCGTTTTTGCTTACAAGGTCAATGTGACCTTGACCTTTGACCCCTTGACCCCAAAATCAATAGGGGTCATCTACTGGTCATGACCAATCACCATACCAAGTTTGAAGTTCCTAGGCCAAAGGGTTCTTTAGTTATCACTCGGAAACCATTTGGTCTACGGACCGACGGACCGACAAGTGCAAAGCAATATACCCCCTTTTCTTCGAAATGGGGGCATAATTATTTAATTTTGCTGCAAATTAAAAGAAAAAAGATACCTGAAATATAAATTTATGGCAGATTATAGGCAAACAGACCTTAAAACAATTTCCTTTTTTGAACCATCTTACTTTAGGTAAAATAAAATTTTACCAGCCTTTAAAGGTAACCCCATCAAAATTAGTAAAACTATTATAAACAGTTGATCTTACATAAATCTGCACAAGCAAATATCTGAAAAACTGAATTAACCCTTAAACTGCTGATTTTGTGAAAGTCGTACTTTGAATCCCAGTCATTAAAAAAATCTTTTTATCACCTTTTGAAGGTGATGCGAAACAATAGAGCACTTGCAAAAGCACTACTATTCAACAGTGTTGATCTAGACTATAAAAAGACATTGCACATTATCACACGTTTGTCTGACTATCTGCATTACATAAATGTGTGTGCAGTTTTAAACATGATCATTTTCATAGGTTATGGCACTGTAAAGAAGTTGACACAGTTTGTGCTGTGTATTACCTCTGCTCGTTTTAACATTTCCCATTTGTTCAATATCTTCATGGCATATACCTTCTCCGTGGATTTCATCTTAACAACAGCCACCTGCAATTCAAGTCAGTGTTCAAGTTAAATACTATATATCCTGTTTCATTCTCCCTCAAACAACAACGCAAGTTATACGAAAATGTGTTTATTGTTATAATCAGTACTCTTATGGATCTGAATTCATTAAAGTGTAAACTTTTACAGTATATTGTCAATAACAATGCATAAGGTGAGTGGTGGCCTAGTGGTTAAGGTGTCTGCCTCTCAACCCAGGGATTATGGGTTCAAGCCCTAACCGGGTCATGACCATGTTTCTCCATACAACACCAGAACTGGTTAGTTCCAGGAAGCGGACTCAAAAGTGATTAATATAAGTTGCAAGAACTTGTTTTGCAATCAAGCTTAAATAAGTATGTTTAAACCAACAATGCATTTAAACTTTCTGTTTTCTTTTAATAAAGAGCATAAATCCAGCATTTTCGACTGGAAATAAAACAACTGCTTGTCAAATATTATATAAAGCCTAACTGTCCTAACATATCTGATTGTGAAGAAAGTTACCTCGCCAAATGCCCCTCTTCCAATGATTCTGACTGTCTCAAAATCATCTCTTGTCAGTCGATAGTTACGTACTTTATTTACAACTGGCTTTACTGCAAAAGAAAACAGAATTTATTTTTCTAAATTGTCAAAAACAACAACTTTAATTTCTGAAAATAAAATTTTATACATTTATTATTCAATTGTAGTTTGTATAAGGACTGGTGTATAGGTATTTATTAGTATTCCATTACAGAATAAGAAATATTCCTTATTACCCTTTTGATATCAGATATGAGGTTCCGTCGATATGTATTATAGATCAAACTAAAGCACTGCATGCCTGTCAACTTACAGCCCTATTGTTAAATACAAACAAGCACTTAATAAATGATGTCCCTTAACAGTGACTAATAGCACTTCATGCAAACTGTAATTCATAACAAAAGATTTTACCAAAGTCGATAAACTCGGAAATGCGCTTTTCTCTACGTAATGCTGGTGTTTGACACTCATCGTACAGCACCAGCAGGATGTCCAGTAATGTTTCTAAACTCAATGCAGTCCCTGATGAACTAACAACTCCACCTAGAATATCATACAAAATTAAACATTTAGCATATTTGGTTGTAGACACTGAAAAAAAATTATATATAAAACAGCTATGATGAATTTGGTTTCCTTTTTTTTTTAATACAATACAGTCTTCTGTCACATACTTGTATAGTGTTGCATCTACAATTTCAAACTTATGGGGTATTGTCACCCAATCAACTGAAAATTGTAGGGGATTTGAAAGCAATGTGGGGGAAATACATTTACCTTGTAATATGACGTACAAACAGTACCGAAGAGAATTCATTTATTTAACATTTAGGCATTTTTAACAGCTATAGTCCACTCAACAACGGAAATAGAAAAAATAAAATATTGATGAATACTACAATACACACGCAAGATGACCCAGTCGGCTGCTACAGACAATTTAGTACGTATTTTAGTCATTACCATGAGTGAAAACAAACATGGCTGAAGAGTTCAAGATACGATGAAGATAAACTGAATTAAGTTGAAAAGATCATCAAATGTGCAACTTGGCGCGCATTGACTTCATAAAAATGCGCAAATCGGGCGGCCTAGACGCAACACTGCTTGTATGGATCATATTTATGACATATTTTGAAGGAAACAACTACATATAATTGTCTTTTCACTCCTTTCTTTCTTGTTCCTAAAGAAATTAGCTCGTACATAATGTAATTTTTTCTAATTTCACCATCACTATTCCTAGTCTAAGAATTTAAAGAACTACTTCCAGAGCTACAAGCTAGTCTTAAAACTACTCTGAGAACTACAATAAACATACATCTCATTTTTATTTTTTAAAGTAAAATTTAGGCAATTTCATATTTTATCCTAAATATTTTCATTATGATTGATGTCTTTAAAACTGTGATGCCTTTTCATTCACAGATTTTGTTTACACTTGGCGGATAATCTTGTTGCACATGCCCAACAGTGACATAATAAATTTTTGCAAAGTGTGTCTACTTAGTACTATGTATCATGCATGAAACAGCCACAACTCATAGACAGTTTATTGGATTTTTTCCAATATGTATGCAAAAACATGATTTTACTTACGTCCAAAAATTTACCTTATATATTATCCATTTTTATTTACTTAGAAATTAGAAAATTATTTGTCAAACAATTCCCACTTAAGGGGATATCACCAAGATGTGAAGGCATGGATGCGGTCTTATTTTCATAAAAAGACTATGAATATTTATCAATTGACTTTCCACATACCCAGCTCATGCAATAGAAGCCATTTCCTTTGTTTATAAATAATTAGGATTAAATATCAGCCTCTTAGAACAAAATATAAGCACCATAATAACTTTGAACTTAACATCATACTTAATGCTGTTATCACATGTTTAAATCAAAATAAGCAGGCACTTGACTCTGCGGGATAATTTTCTTAGATCATAGGCCATTTGGACCTTCAACCTAGGCAAAGTTATAGGCCCAGACAAATTACCACAGGCCCAAATCATTAATTGTGCCAAATATATAAACATTTTATTTTATGTGATAATGTTATTAACAAGTTAAATATAATAATATTATATATAGCTATAGTACAGCTCAAGAATTTTTTGCACATCCTGCTTTGTCACTGCGGACTATTTTAACAGCGAGTGGAAAATCGCTGGGGACATACTCAAGTCAGTCACTGGAAAACACCAAAGACTTGTTAAAAAAATCCCTGCAATCACCGGTGGACAATCACAAAGATTTGCTGTGATAAATATCGCATATAAATGTTCACGTACATGTACAATGTAGTCTTGTTAGAAAAACATAACACTAATCTATTGCTTTAATAACAGACGTAACATCATCTGTATATGTATAAAATTGGTAGTTTTGAAGTTCCATTTGCGTAAAAAATGTAAAATGTAATCAAAATGCACTTACGATTAATAATATGTCAATAATTGACACGATAATTATCCAACATTTTTTTTTTACTTTTATGCAATAATTTAAAATGTGTAATTGTTCTTGACAAAAAAGATGACATTTTTTTCTGATATATAACTAGAAATGTGTCCATAGGACACGGATGCCCCCACACGCCACTGTTCTGTCAATCTTATGAGTCTAGGTCAAATATTTTTTGGACTACATGTGCCACAAGTTGAAAACTAAAAATCAACAAAGGGCCATAATTCTGTTTGGTCGCAGCAAAAATTCCTTCCTTTACTACTATCTACACATTAAGGTTGTTAATCCCTGGAAGTTTAAGCAAAATCTGCCGTCCGGTTTAAGAGGAGTTGCGTTCACAAAATTTCTACATAGTATATAATGAAACTAGAAATGTGTCCATAGGACACGGATGCCCCCACACGCCACTGTTCTGTCAATCTTATGACTCTAGGTCAAATATTTTTTGAAGTACATGTGCCACAAGTTGAAAACTAAAAATCAACAAAGGGCCATAATTCTGTTAAATTTGGTTGCAGCAAAAATTCCTTCCTTTACTACCATCTACACATTAAGGTTGTTCATCCCAGGAAGTTTAAGCAAACTCTGCCATCCGGTTTAAGAGGAGTTGCGTTCACAAAATTTCTACATAGTATATAGTGAAAAAATCAACAAAGGGCCATAATTCTGTTAAATTTGGTCGCAGCAAAATTCCTTCCTTTACTACCATCTACACATTAAGTTTTAGTCACCAATTCAGACGTTTATTTTCGTTTCCCCTCGTTGGATGTCTGTTGTTTTTTCCAACCATTCAAATTTCCATTGGTTCTTCACCCCTGCGTCAACTTCTTTGACGAGCTGGGTGTCCCGATCGGCAATTGTCGTCATTTTTTCAATTGTTCATTCTTGATTTTCATTTATATCCGACATTTTGACGCATTTTGACAACAGACAAGAGCGACAATGTAAACTGTAATTTGATTGGTTATTCTAAAATAGAATGCCGGAAAATGCTCGATTTGACCAATGAGAAAAGCGCTTACAGACGTACCATAGGCGGCTAGCATAACTATAAAAGCCGAAGCGTGCCGGTTTTTGGGTACTGTATAAAATATGACGAATGAATTTATTGTCTTGGTTCGAATCGTCACCATCAGAAATTCGGTCCATACCCCCTGGAAAATTTTCTCCTCGAATTTACATCGATCTCAAAAATGACCCAGGAGCTCACAAAATCCACGGATTTAGGTTCAGGTTGTTCATCCCTGTAAGTTTAAGCAAAATCTGCCATCCGATTTAAGAGGAGTTGCGTTCACAAAATTTCTACATAGTATCTAGTGAAAAAATCAACAAAGGGCCATAATTCTTATTCTGTTAAATTTGGTCGCAGCGAAAATTCCTTCCTTTACTACCATCTACACATTAAGGTTGTTCATCCCTGTAAGTTTAAGCAAAATCTGCCATCCGGTTTAAGAGGAGTTGCGTTCACAAGATTTCGGGACGTACGGACGGACGGAGTGACGGACAAGTGCAACGCTATATGCTCCCACATTGTGGGGGCATAAAAAAGGGTAGTCAATTGTAAATAGAGTGTCTGCACTTCTTTGATGATTCGGCAGGTGTGTAACATCAAAGACTGACAGATTTTTTGAAGAACAGACTAGTCATTTGTCAGGGGTCATCTTGTGTATAAATTTTGTGTATATTATTAAATTTCATTTATTTATGGATGCTTCTTAGTACTATCTAATTCAACAAACGGTGATCAATTTCTTTAACTTACCATCTAATATTCTAACATTTTTAAAACAGGTGTGCAAATATCCGCCATTCAGAAATTATTTGAGACAAATGTAGCATGTGTTATTTTTTACAGACGCAAGTAAATAAGTGTAATAAATTGATAATGGTCACCCAAGAGAGCAAAATGTCCCTTCAATATTTCACAGTGATCCACTGTGATGATAACCCTCAGCGTGAATTTCACCCAGGGTATGAGTCGAAAGTCACAACTATCACAGAGACTCGCAAACTATATATATATTGTTCTACCTCAGATTGCTCGAACACTGACCCTTCAAACTCTGAGTCTCGAACCAGATCTCTGGTCCCTTCAGCAGAAATATACTAGAGAAAATCACACCTTTTAGGTTGAACACAAAAAGACACCAAAAGTTGCGGTTCATCATGTTCTGAATTAGTGACAGTCTATGTCACATGTTTTATCACCTTGTGATCGTGATAAAGGCAATTAAGGTTAATTGATACAAAATAAGAGATGTTGTAACTAATTTGATTGGTATGATCATTTTGTTTATTTGCCGTCTTTAGACTTTAGTATCAATAGAAAGAAAATATCTTAAAATATAAAAGTGAAATGCACAAAAAGTCAATAAGTGACATTTACTTGGTAAATGTTCATGTACAGCTTTACTTATAGCCGTGGTCATGATGTATTTTGAACATTGTTCATCAAGTTTGGAAAATTATTGCCCAATCAAACACAGGTTGCATGAATATAGATTTACAAAGTGTACTGTTAATACTCATTTGAAAAGACTAACCAGTATGTGTTTTTTCGACAGTTAATCCTAATATTTAGCAGACTTCCTGAAAACCGTTGGAACGGAGGAAATGACTGACACATTTTCACACGATCTGACAATTTTTAAGCTTACAGCATGCCCACTCAATTTCAAATGTAGGAGTACATGTACCCCCTGTCATTGAAAATTGGGGGTACATTTCAAAATCTGGGGGTACACATAAGTTTAAACATGTTTTTGTTTGTAAGAACATTTTAGTCAACATGATATTAATGAACAGCTGCTGTTTCACTAAGTATTAAGCTTTACTACCCAATAACACAGACACAATCTCATCACTTAAGGTAGCAATATAACAGCCATTACAATCACTGGTATTTTGTTTAGTCCATACGATTATTACCAATAACCAAAATTTTGTAACTCCGAAATTATGTACATTTATTTCAAAATCTCAATTGTTTAAATTTTCATTTCATATGACATACCTAAAGCTCACAATTGAAGGTAGTTGTTAAAAAATCAAGTGACTAACTTTTTGCTGATCATTGGTAAACTCAAAATACTTTTTGGCAGTTGTAAATAGCCAAAACTTTTTTTCTTAAGACAGTACATGTCACGTCAAGACATGACTAAAATATTTACGAATCAGACTGAGATGACTTTGAAAGTAGACATGCAATTGTGACCGGTTTAGACTGTTCCTAACCATTAATAGATGGCAATGACATTTAGTTGATATGCATATTAGGCTATCCCAAACATTCATTCTGACGATTTTACTTTGCGTGCATGTACCCCCTGCTTACAATTTTTAAGCGTGCATCTAGATTCTAGAATTGTGTGCATGAATAAGGCACTGTAGTGTGTGAATGGGCATGCTGGCTTAACAGATCCTCACCTCGAGACCTGTTTTATAAGGAAAAGAGTCAACTCGGCCCTATACCAACTCGGCACGGGTCAACTCGACCCACTTTACAAAAATATATATAACGTATTAACTTTGCTTTGCATGTTGTTAAGGTAAATGAATAATAAGAAATATCTTATTATTATATATTTATACATTGTACTTCTGCCGAAATAAAGTATATTTAGAAAAAAATTGTTATTTATTTGTCTTATATTTATAAACTCTCTCTGTCGAACTACGTAAATAACAGAGGTATATCGAGTGAAAAAGGAAGAGTTGTTTCCCTTAGTTTCCCTTCGCTTGCAAAAGAATGCAAATTTAGCCGTGTTTAAATCGCTAGTTTGGGGCGATTAAATGTCCGATTTTAAAATTTGTTACACCAATTAAAAGCTGGTGATCTTAGCTTCCTCTCAGTATATATTTCAACACATTGTTTGACACTGAAGGTCTTTAAATTTTCGGTTAAACCTACGAGTCAGAAATACAGTGAGATACACGATCAGTTATCTTTACTCGCAAAAAGCCTGTCTGCTGCTAGTTCTGAAACTGTCAATCCGTGTATTATAAATAATCACAATAATAAAAATAAATAGTGTTAACACAAACCTAAATATTAATAATTAAAAAGTGGGCCGAGTTGACCCGTGCCTAGATGGAATAGGGTCGAGCTGACTCAGGGGCCGAGTACGTTTTAGGGCCGAGCTGACCAGGATTCGTTTTATAACTGTGCTTTTATAAAGAACATGAGCCATATTATTTAAACCATAAACTGTTTTTGTAACAAACTTTTCCTACTAACATCATAGCAGTTTTTATCATGTCTATAACTTATCACAACCTTTGAGCATGATACATGTACAGGTCAGTCCTGAGTCTTTGCTGATTGTTGGGTAAAGACCAAAGTCAAATATTGAAAGCTTTCCAAAACAGAATACCATAAATTTACTTAAACAATGGCATCATTACTTTAATTATAACATTGAGAAGCATAGATTTGACTTTAAAAGATCATACCTAGATACAGTTCCTCCAACTTCTTCAACCTTTCTTCAGCAGGTGCTTCAGACATCTCTGGATTTTTTTTCTCCCTGCCACCCAGGAATTCCTCAAATTTCTAACAGATACATATTATATTTAGGCTCACTGACCGTCTCGTCATAAGCTTAATAGACAGACGAGCACACGTTGCCCTTCACATTATCGGAAATATTTAATTGTATGCAGTTCTGGAAGAAAATTATGTTGATTTGTTGTTGTTGTCGTTGCCCTTCTCTGGTTTGCTGCGATTTATGTCTGCAATAGGGTACTTCACTTATTCCGATTTGAGCATATGAGTAAAATTAAACGTGGTTGCTTAAAAGTGTATTGCACATTGGTTATTTGATGATAGGTTTACAAGTCCAAATAAATTTACAGGGTCATTTCCGACATTTCCTCCATTGTCAAAATTCCTCCGACAAATACCGCAATGCATTATGGGAAATTCATCATACTGTACCAATCGGAAGACCTCGGCTATTATCGTAAAACGAAGTTTGACGTATAGAGCCAAAAAGTTGCGATTGTTTACGTCATTTTTTTCAGTTTTGCACAAAAATGTCCGTGGTTTGACACATCACTAAATTTATACATACGTTAACATTTTTTACAACACAAACTGAAAATATCAGCAAACGTTGACAATATTTATTCAGTGAAATTTTGAAACAGGACGGACCATAGGCACTTGGTTTCGGGATGAAAAGCCTTTTAGAGGTTTGTAGAACTCAAATTTGATTGAATGTAATGATTTTTTTAACGTAGATGTCTCTTTCCTAAAACCGTCATTTTTCCGATATTACTAAAAACACTTTTAGTAATATCGGAAAAATGACGGTTTTAGAAAAGAGACATCTACGTTAAAAAAATTGTAGCATTCAATTATATTTGAGTTCTACAAACCTCTCAAAGGGTTATTTTATCCCGAAACCAAGTGCCTATGGCAGTGATCACAATTAACGTCCCAGTTATTTACCCAGGATCATTTAGGATTCAAATAAGGAAAAAGGCATTTCAGAGTTCAGTAGTTTTACTGTAAAATATTCTAAAATTCTGCATTACAAATTTATCAGCCAAAATATCAAATTGATTTCTTAAAGTAATTAAGAGTTATAAAAAAAACATGGAAAATAGATAGAAAATGACCAAGTTGGGCGATAATACGGTACCTTTGGTATCTGTAGACAAAGCAATAAAGTCACCGAAAATGTCGACTGGCTTGTTTATAGCCACTTTTCTCTGTAATCACACATTGCATGAAAAAGACATGACTTGAAAATTAATAACAAAAAGACAAAAGCCGTCAAGAACCGACAAGAAGTAAAAATATGAATTAATTTCACTTATTTTTCATTTTAGAACCATTATTCCTAATATCATGCACATGTAAAACATTATGAATTTGTTTAAACCATGTCCATTGGCAAATATCTACCGTCAAGAACTCTGCCATCTTCGTATCATTATAGTAAGAATTTGTATATTTTAAGCGTTCAATCATAATTTTGTTTTGAAATATGATCAATATTGTCAGTCTATATTCAATCGATCATTTTAAATATCCTGCATTTAATTAAATGTATCCATGCCTGCCGACAAGAAATGTCTTCATGTCTACCGACAAGAAATATCTATCATCATACCTATCGACGAGAAATTTCTTCATGTTTTCTACAAAAGGCATTATATAGGCAAGTTTCATTATAATATTATATAACGCATTTATTGAAATTCTTGTTCTGTTAAAGTTGTTTAAAATAAAGATTAAAATAATTTGCTAATTGTTAGGCCTATTATATTTGTCATTTATAAAGGGGACATAAAAAAGCTTTTGTTTTCTACATGCGCACGCGACAGCTAGTTTGTGTGCACGCGATAGTATATTGGGCTACGCGAAAGCTGTAACGTGCACACGAGATATCTGTTACGTGGTAATGCATAGGCATTATGTGACTACGCGACATGTATTTATACGAACTCGATAGTATTTCGTGGCCACGCGATAGGTTTGACGTACGCATGAGCACGATAATCACGTTGTGGATTTTACGTGGGAACGTAACAGCTTTCCCGTGCCGTGGTCACGTTATCATTGATTAATACCTATGTGACTATATACACGTAGTAACAACATTTTGGGTATTTCAATGCAATTTATGACAAGATCTAGATCATTATGCAATTTCGGCCGTCTTGCTTTTCGACATTACTTTTCCTTAATAGACGCATAATTGGGCGCACGTGCAACATGACGCAAAACGTTACTTTCAAAATGGCTGCTATGAATGAACTGTACATACACTTAACAAATCTTATAAGTGTGCATGTATAAATGGTTTCATTGGTGTATCAATATTTGCCCGATCATGCTGAAATTTTCAGTAAATACAGAAAAGAGACATGTTATCATTGTTATTAAGTATTTTTCATTCAAGATACAAATTTAAGATTTAATTTCGAAAAAATGTCAATGCGTGTCGAACGTCGATGTTGCAAAATTATGTCCTTATACTGTGTGTGCCCAACCTGACTGTGTATTACAGCCCGGCAGCGTCGTCACAGATAATTTTGGGGTTGGTGAGGAAGGTTACCAAAGAAGTTGCTCTGTACTTAATGATAAGCCTTCTTAGGTAGTTTGGTGTACACCCATGCCAGGCGCAACCTACAAATGATACAGACAAGAAATTACTAAATAAAAATATGCATTTTATGTTCCTCTTTGATAGAAACTGAATTTAAATGATTTTCGGCTTTTGCAATGCAAAGGAATTAAAATAATTATTTAAACAAATAAATTTTGTTACCAACCTCTGTTTGGTGTACACCACCGTTGACCAATCTTAGGGCTATGCCACGCTGTTGTATAGATAATCTACCAATGTATGAAATTATTCTCGTATCGGATATAGCTTGAATGAGTGCTTATGTATGGTTTCTGTACCTTAAGTTAAATATGGAGTGATACCTTAAGTATTTTCTTTTAACGGTGCACGTGTATTTCGTGGGTTAGTGGGGTATATATATAGTGTTTTCGCGGTTTTTCTTCACTCGACGCTTGCATTTGGTGGTACTTAAATAACATGTTTAAATACGCCCCACCCGACCCCATCCCTTCTTACAACAAACGTTTTTGTAATGAAGTATTTAAATACACATTCTTGCTGAATATTTAGGCTTTTTTCATTATTCTTCACATGACACACAAAAAATCTTTTCTTGAAATATAACTTATTAAAGTTGCATAATTTAATGATTTTTCTTTGTTTTAATGAACATAACTTGTTATTTAATATTTTACAGATTACACAATATTACGGTGTTCCGTTTGCAATATTATTCTGTTTGTTATATTTTGTAACCACATGTTTAGATCTGTTTTAGTTTCGTTTCAGAGTTTCGAATACAGCAACAATGCTATACATCTGATGAATCCCAAATACAAGAACATAACAGATACAGATAAATACCGATTGATTCTATTGATTTGTAATATGTACTACCAAATATTAAGCGTTATTCCTATGTATTTGTTGTTGTTTCTTGCTATAGTAGATTAGAGAATAATTGATTTACTCTCGACATAAGAGAGAGTAAGGTGATTTTCTGATATGTCGATCTCTATCGTATCCGAGAATATCATGTGCAATCTTATTTCACCCATTCCCACAATTTTTTCGTGCATTGTGTGAATTACGTTTTTTCATGGTTGAACGCACTTCATAATTAAAATTGACATGCTTGAGCACATGAAATGTGTGGAAATGCAGCCAATAGTCAGAACACAAAAATTCCTAAAATGACCCCGGAATGACAAAAAATTTACTGTATAGACATAAAAATAGCAGATAATTTAAAAAAACAATATAAGCCAAAGAGTCATGTATAAATCTAGATATAGGGCTACATCTCCGGATATAATTATATTAAGAAACTATTAGACAATATGCATCAAATGAAGAAATTGAATCATCAACAAGACAGGGAAAAGGTATTACAATTGTATTTCAGTACAATGTATTATAAGTAGAATGAAACTAAGAGTGGGGCGAGATGGGCGGATATATTGCTAAGGTTAGGGCTTTGGGCCTTATATTGTGCAAAGAAGACCCGCCAAATTGATAGAAAAACGAATCTGCAAAGGAATCAGACAAATGATGTTTTCATGGTTGGCTCGAGAAAATTGACACACTTTATATTAAGAAAGAACAAATTGCCAGTAAAAAAAAAATCGACAATGACACGCGGAAAACTCGCGGACAAATTGCTTGCGCTATGGCTTTGGCAAAGAAGACCCGCCAAATTGATTGAAAAACGAATATGCAAAGGAATCAGACAAATGATGTTTGCATGGCTGGTTAGAGAAAATGGTGTGTTTTACGAAAATTGAGTCAATTTATATACAGAAAGAACAAATGGCAAGTACAAATAAACGACCATGAAACGCAGAAATCTCGCGGACATATTAATGGGTTAGACCTTTTGGCCTTGTATTTTGCAAAGAAGATCTTCCAAACCGATACAAAAACGAATCTGCAAGGGAATCAGAGAAATGGTGTTTTCACGGTTGGGTCGAGAAAATGGTGTCTTTTACAAAATACCCTAATTAATTCACTTTATATACAGAAGAAGAAAAATTGTTGGTTCAAAGAACGACCATGTCACGCGGAAATTTCGCGGACATATGGCTTGTGTTAGGGCATTGGGTCTTATATTTCTGTCAAGAAGACTTCAAATTTATATAAAAACGAATCCGCAACGGATTTAGACAAATGGTGTTTCACGTTTGGCTCGAAAAAATGGGGGTCTTTTTACAAAATTTTAAACAAGCAAAACAGTGAAGCCAAAACAATCCCTCAGCTTCACTCTGTGCGGGCTTTAAGTTCCGCTCAGACCTACAAGAAAGGCCTTAAACTGTGCGTTGTGTCAGCTTCCCTGTATTGCGTGAGGCTATTGACGGCTTTTAGTCGCGCTATGAATTACCGAGAAAGGCCTATGAGAATGGGTTGTGTCAGGTTCACTGTATTGCCAGAGACTATTGCCTGGCTTTTAGTTGCGATAAGACCATCCCCAACTTTACTGTATTGCCTGAGGCAATTGGTGGGATTTTAGTTGCTACAGACCTACTAAAAAGACCTATCATGTTAGTTAGGTCATCTTCACTGTACTGCCTGAGACTATGGCCGTCATATTACTTGCGATCTATTGGCAATGCCTATCCCCGTGAATTGTGTCACTGTATCGCATGAGGTTATGGGCGGGCTTTTAGTACCAGAATGACCTTTCATTGTGGGTTGTGTCAGTTTCACTGTATTGTATTGCCTAAGGCTATGGATTATTTTTTGGATTTTTACGGCACGTCCACACATAACAGGCCATATGGACAGGCTTTTAGTGGCGCTCGAACCTTCTAGAAAGTCCTATCATCGTGGGCTCTGTCAGCTTC